GTAGCGGCGAAGAATTTTTAGGCTTTACTACTTTCCAACCTTGTCAAATGGAGATATTTTTAATGTCAGAATAAACTGATTTCAACATATTCCGATATAACATGGGAAACGAAAGAGTATCTCATTTACATACTTTATCAACGGAATGAACGTGAATTAGCGTTTAATTGCGCCTAAGTCGGGCAAATTCTTGTTGCATAAATCTTCATTTAATGGTCACTTGTTGAATAAGCACGAGATCTTTCCTCTTTAATGTTATTAGATGGTATTTACTATACTTATGTTAGGATCAAAAATTTAACTAAGACAATATTGGTAAAAAACGGTATAACACACTCTATGAGACAAAGTGGTCTAATATCATAAGACAATATTGTAAAGTATACTTTAGGTCGCCGGCCTTATGGACGGTGCAGTAGACCGCTGGATCGACAGAATTAAGGAGGACCTGCTGCAGCTGAAAGCCAACAACTGGTGGCACAGGACCGGGAGCACGGGAAGATTCTCATTTCGGAAGCCAAGACACTTTATGGGTCACAGAGCCAACGGAGTGAGTGATATTTTATATTTGTCTTTTACTTTTTTACGTTAGAAAGCTTATTCTGGCTATAAGCATATATTATATTGATGCAAATTATTCGTTTTGCAAAGTTTTTATCGCTATACTTTTTGATAAATGTGGTTATTAGCATTCTAAGAAATGTATGGGAATTTTGCCTATCTTACATCTTGGGAGATAATGGTATGCATTTTGCGGCTGATGAAACCTTACAAGACAAGAAGTGAATTGAGAAACTCTGAAAATTGATATGACGTAAAAATGAAGACCTGTAAGATGTACGTACTTTGCTAAGACTAAAGGGAGTGATATTACAAGGTTAGCAGATTGACAACACGTCGCTTTAAGACTTTTATTATCCATCAACAAAACATAGATACATATATTCATACATTTGATACCTAACATATAAATCTACTATATTTCGATGATGGGTGACTTATACTAAATAATCAAAAAAATATCGTCGCTGTAGAATGATAACCTCGTATGTCCAGAGACATTAAAGGAAACAAAAAATGTTTCATTTCGTCAATGTTCGTTAAATTATTATTATGTGTTTTTGTCCATAGTTTTAGATGGTAAAAAGGACTTATTTATTAATAACATAAATAAGTCCTTACTTCATGATTATACCAGTTAAATGTTATCATTCTACAGCGACGACATGTCCGTAGTTTTATTAAATCAAAAAGAACTTGTCAAATAACCTTTACATTTTCCTATAGCGACGTAATATTTTAGTCAAGAATGTCAATGATTTATTTTTTTCTGGATTTAGTGAAAACATAAATGAACACAGAAATAAATTTAATATTTCTTAATATAACTAAAAAGAAAGGAAAGAAACAAATTATGTTAAGTCCACCTTAACTTTTAGTCACCCATTTCGATGTCATATATGGAAATGTTACTCAAGCCACCGTATATTATGCGCAAAGCCTATTATTGTCTTTTGGCAAAGCACAGCCTTCATAAAAATACCAACAGTTTCGACCAATTAACAATTTTACAAAAACACTGAGTCACATTAAATAGCTAACTAAAGTTTTTATTACGCCCATATAAACAAGCCACATATAAGTATTATTCACAAATGTATTAAGCAATAATTTATTACTTGTTATAAGAAGCAATCTGTTTTACCTAAACCTAGTGATATAGTATTTCGTAACAACCGCTCCCTTTTGCAATTGAAAGTAGCCACAGCTGGCCCCGGTCTGAGTAACATTCCATAATATACAAAATAGTACACGACGTTAATATTATTTGTTGTTTAACTTATAAATAAAGTTTAACTTAAGATGATTGAAATTATTCCTAAGGCCGCTAACTCACCGGGATGCCATGGCAAACAATTTGTATTAAAAAGTAGGGCACGAAGGTTCCAGAAAGGAAAAATAAGAGAAGAAGAAGACGGTTTCAGAAAGGTTTTTGAGGTTTTGATCCTGGCTACGCTTCCAAATTGGCGACGTTGTCAAACCATCGCCAAGTGAGTTAATTGCCATACAATTCAATACAAATTGTTTTGATACGTAGCAACCCGACGTTACGATGGCATCCCGGTGAGTTAGCATGTCCATGTTTTAACAGGGCAATCGGTAACTAACACGTGTATGGGAAAATTATTATTATATTATTGTATGTCGTGTACTCCTTATTAAACACCAACTCAACGCCCAATTTATAATCTATATGCTATATAACACATATTAAATATATAGTCTAAATCTAGACCCGTTTTTGTTTTTAAGACAAAAGAGATTATATACACGGATTTCCTCATCAACGAAAAATCGAAGCACAAATATTCTGACCATCCATTACTATCAAATATTTACATTTAAGGGAAAAGTTATTTTTCTAGTCAAAGAGTACTTGCTGTGAAAGCCCTACTAAATTTGATGGACAGAATACAAAAGGACATCAAAGACAAAAACAAGAACATAGGAGTAGAATATTTATCTTTGTCTCTTCCATTCGGGCAATATACATTTTGTGTCGTAGAGCCAGCGGAGTGAGTGACTCATCCATGCTTTGTCTAAGTCACGACATTTTTGACATCTTAACCCAGCAGTCGTTCTCTATGCATGTGCCCAGACATTCGCATTCAAGTTTTCCATAGTTTTTTGAAAATCTTTACATAGTTGTATCGACTCGGGTAGATATGAAATTCTATACTTATTCTAAATTCAACATATCTTTAATTTACAAAACTCTACTTTTCTACCTCTATGGGGCTTACAAGTAAAATAATCTAATTTATCACTTACGATTTTAGTGAAATTAATCGTTGATACAACTAATGATCCTGACTAGAACCAAAATGTATTTTTAACATTTTTGGGGTTTCTTTTTATCGTATACTTCAAATATTTGTTTCAATCTTTATTCTAAAGAGAAAATTAACACAACATTTAAAATGTTTGTTTAAGATTTTAAAACGTAAATAGTTTTTCAGATATTGATTTAATTACTCAAATAATACGTCTTGTTTATATTAGAGTCGTATGACTAGCAAAAAGTAATATTTTAATATGATGATACTATTTAATATAACTAAATAAAATCAGTCTCCATTTGGCACATAATCTACAAATTAAAAAGTACAATTATTCAAGCAATAACAAAAAGCTGAAACTAAACACTAGTTTAGTAATAATACTTTGCTAGAAATATTTCTTAAAAAAATGACATAAATTTGAAGTGGCTGCGACCATGCAATAACAAATGTTTAATTTTTAATTTGTTGATCAGTTGAAGTCAACGAAAGCAAAACACTATTTTTTTTGAACAAGCTGTTACAGACGGCAATTTATAACATTCATAATGAGATATCATCATGATCATAGTAAGACCCATAATTCGATTAATCTAGTATTAAACTATTACGTAATACAAGACGAGGTTTTGCAATGGCTCGGACTTTAACTAGCGCGGAACTGATGGACTGCCCTGTAGATGACCGATAATCCTGATCTTTCTTACGTCATTTCATAAGGTCTGTTGACGTTTACAACCACCGCTGTGGTTAGTGGTTAAAAGCGTGGCACTTGGGCCCCATTCCTGGTTAAAAATTTCGAGATAAATAAAATATAATGAACTATAATTATTTGGTGGTCATAATATTTGGTACACATAATGGTTTACGTCAACGCACATGAAATCTTTAAAATTGAAGGTGAATATTTGCCCCCGAATTCTGTCGTGCTTGTTGTTTAATTGCGTATTTACTTTACGCGCGTTATAAAATCGCTTGGAGCCCATTCGACTTTAGGAACAGAATAACCTTAATTATTTGTAAAATAAAATCACTTAGCTGATATTAATCTGATGTTAGCGTAAGGATTGAATGTAACACTTGCAACATGGTTACAACACTTTTCAGTTACAGTCTCTCGGCATTTCACAATCTAAAAACGAAATAACTTCTTAAGATAGCGAGAGAATTAAAATATTGAAAATTAATATGTTTAAATTATTTTTATTAATGATAATTTAGAAATGTTTTAGCAACTACAAGTCTGAAACAGCAACTGAACGATTAGTTTATATCATTATTCTTTTTACATGAAATAGTCAAACACTCTTCTCACCTGAGTCTTATATTTATGAATCGTTTAGCAACGTTTTACGTTTGATTTCGAATTTATATTATCATACGTGTTGTCATTTTAAGAAGTAAAAATTGTATTTAAAAATGCAACCTGATTTTGCGGGACTATACGTTCTAAAAGCCAAAATTCTTGTACTCTTAAAACAAAATCTATCAACTATATCTATGATGACGAAGGTATAAACGTTAAACATCTAGGGATATGCTATCATTGATACAAAACTCTATAGACAGTCATCTCTCAACATATAGGCCACGTTACACTTATCCTACAAACTTCTATCACAAATAACTCACAGTTTAAATGTTTTGACTAAGGAGCTACATTTTAATGTTTAGAAGTCCTAATTTAATCATTAATTTTTATTTCCAAGGATTTTACTATGCAGGACTTAACGATGTTTACGATTCTGTACATTTAGTAACGGACTGTAAATGATTCTTATTAATGGTGTTACTGAGTCAGCAATTGCTACGAGTAATAATGCCATTTTCATAAAAATAGCGGCGGTCAAATGTAATGTCTAAACATTTGTCTCAAAGCACGTCTGTCAGTTATTCTAGTTTTAATGAACTCTTGAAACGGAATTATATCCATACATTCATCGTAAAGATATAAATTATAAATGCACGACTGTCTAGTAATTATAACATCAATCATTGAAGAAGTTTATCTAATACCCAACCGTTGTATTCTTGTATCAGATGGAAGAACAACATGTTCTCACTAAATAAATGTTGCGGGACAAAAAAGCTTGTTCAGTTGCCCTTATTTTAATTGTTGCGTGTCTACGGCAGGCCACTGGAAGCCATTCTATCCCCTGGTCACGCCCGACCAAGCATGGCTGCTACGTCCCCTGCTGACTGGGAGTGGAGAAGGGCACTCCTAGCAGGTCTTGGCGGTGGTAGTCGTGGTAACGCAAGAAGGGTCGAAGCACCCAGAGGACATCCAGTAACAAATTCGTGTCGGGAGGCTTCGGTTGGGGTGATACGTCGTTTTGGATCCCACCTGTAAAAAAATATAATTATTCAATTACGTTCAATCTAAATTACACAAAGATTCCATTCGAATAAAGTACCCCGAGACATAGTAAATGCTCATTGGTACCCGCAATATCGACAACCATAAGGATAACAAAAAAAGCGTCGACAAAGAAATTAAAAAAAAACATGACGCATCCCACCAATACATTCATCATGTGAATTTTGAGGCTGCACAGTACTTCGCACCATGGGGCTAGTGTATAGTGTAAGTGTTTTGAGCAATTGTACTTTTGTACAAATGCTTATAAAACTAAAAAATTTAAGTGTTAGTGAAAACTTTGAACATTAGTGCTAGGTTTATAAGACAGTTATTTAAATACACTAGAATTGTATTTAAACTATAACAGTATATTAGCTCAAAAGGGTTTATTAGCTTGGGTTAAAGTAGATTTAAATTTAAAAAGTACATGTTCGAATTTAACAAAAGAAAATAGTCCCATAAACCCATTTCATTATATACGCGATGTTGGCATTAGAAAAGAAAAGAAAGGAATAACATATATTAAAGCACACATAGGTACATAAAAAAGAAAAGAGACAGTATCACTTTAACACTGATTTACAGTGGGCCCATATTTTCTTGGAGTGACAGCTACAGAATATTCAGTTACAAAAATTTTAACAGTTAAAATAAAAACATAACTTGTATTATGCGTAGCTTAAATATCAACATTTAAGTGCTATATACGCTGTATTTATAATGAAAAAAGTCATGTACGTTGAGCTTTAAACAATTTCGATCTCAATTTTTTATCAATAACATATTATGAAACAGAATTTGATAATTCAGATAAACATATATATTGCAGTAATTGATCACGTGTTAATTACTACTAAAATAAGTTAAGTTTTTTAATTACATTTATGAAATTATGTTTTATTTATAAGGCAACCAATGTACGTTTTTCTAAGACCATAAAGGTATGATATAGAAATGGAATCTAAAAGAACAACTATAAATTAATAATATAATTCGTCGACTGCAATGTAAAGTAAGTAATAATTTTGATTTTCGTTTATAAAATATTTCAATAAATATATTTCATAGTAAATTAACATGGTCTTATTCTTAACATAACTTTATTTCTCAAATATTTTTAAAATAAAGCGAAGATTCGGTTCATTCATTAATATTGTATTATCTAATTTATAAAGAAATTCATAAATGAAAATATTTAATATCATTTTTGCTTTTTGTTAACATTAATATGTAAACGAATATCATATTTAAGAACTAGAAAGTTTTACTTTAGTGATTCCTAAATCTCTCAAAAAACAGCCACCGAATCTAAAGATATTTGATTAAACTAACCCAATATTCATAATTATTGTAGTGAAAATTCTATAATTATATTTACGTCATGTTGATTTTTATTTCATTTTTTCATTCAACTACTAGTTAATTATTTAATAGCTATCATGTTTAGGATATGATCACATGGAATTTTCCGCGCGAAGTGAAATTTTTATAAACATTTTGTGGCGCTGACATAAGTTATTGTTGGCTTTGGATAATAAACACTCAAATCAAGATCAATTGAGAAACAGTAATTTAATTAGAATAGTTAATTAAATTTAAAGTATGCTTTTAATTTTTTTTAAATGTGTTAAGAAATACGATCAAAACTTCTAACAGGCTTTTAGGTTAGAATTTTCCCACTTTATTTCCATAATACTAAAAACGTATATTCAGTTTTAAATACACAATATATAAATATAATCTGTAGAAAAGTCATGTAATTATCATATTCTAAAACACATTTCAACTTTAAAAAATATAGTGGCTTTACGTTTGGTTTTAATGTTATATTTAGTTTTAACTTTTAAGATAATATATTACTCGTTCATAATTCTAATATAGAATTTACTGTATATTAATGGTTAAAAGTAGAGCAAGGCAAAGTCTGGTTGTTGCGCTTTGGAAACTGGAATTAAATTTATAAATGTTGCAGCCAGTTGGTTCAAATAATTTGTTGTACAATTATTACGATTTAAAGAAACTTACAATTATATTTTACTCATGATTTCTTAAATCTAAAGTATAGGCGAATTTATTGATGACTAGCTGCCCCTTCGAACTTCGTTTCGCCTTAATATGATTTTGTCACTTAGCCTACCTTTTTAATAGCTACATACCAACATATGGGATTTGCTATGCTACATAGCTGTTGGCGTTCACAATTACAGAAAAATAAAACTGGTTTTTAGGTTTTTCCGTGCAATTCTTCAATTTTTTTATCTTCATAAAAACCTTCCTCAGAGTTGACGGAATATATTTAAAAAAATACTCGAATTGATCCAGCCGTCTTCGAGTTTAGCGCTTAGCAACATATTTTGCGATTATTGTTTATTTATATCGTAACATATACGTGTGTATATGATAAATTTAAATAATATGTTTTAACCGCACGTGTAAGTGTTTCAATTCCTCAAAGGTACTCGTATGCAAAATAGTTTAATATCATAATTTAAATAATAAAGGTCTTACATTATAAATATTTATGTCAGTATAATATGGAAAATATTTGCATTAGATTGTTTAGTATAACTTAGAGTAACTATACTCTTTAGAAAAATACCTTCTGAGTATGTAAGGTCATTGATGTCAAACGAAATAATCTGTGAACAGGCTTTACTAGAAGTACCTAGTAGTAACTTATGGAAATTATATTTTGGATAGTGGATATACAGGAACACATATCGCTAGAGGTCGTCCCTATCCGTATAGGTAATAGATTTCATACCGCAGCTATGCTCTTATGTTTTTAACTTTACTTTCTTGGTATTCACAGAAATATTATACATTTCATGAATTTCTATAACTATACTAGCTGACCCGGCAAACGTCGTTTTGCCATGTATATCAATTATAATAAAAAAATAGGGGTTGATCGTAGAGGGGTGAAAGTTAGGGGTTTGTATGTATTTTTTAATGCTGTATCATAAAAACAGAAAAAAATATCTAAAAATATTAAAGAAATATTTAGGGGTGGACTACCCTTAACATTTAGGGGGATGAAAAATAGATGTTGTCCGATTCTCAGACATACCCAATATGCACACAAAATTTCATGAGAATCGGTCGAGCCGTTTTGGAGGAGTATGGCAACGAAAACTGTGACACGAGAATTTTATATATTAGATTGATATGCTATAGTTTCAGCTATTAAACCCAATTTCATATCTTTAAAATAACGGTTATTGGATTTGGAAAATCAACTCTAGAATCTGAAGGCCCGTGTACCAATCACTGGTCTAGACATAAAACGGTTGCCCTACTTTCATAACGATAAAGTGATTCAAATATTCCCTTTCAAAGTGGACTCGTTAGCGATTTTCGAATGGACTTTAACCTTTAAGGTATTGCAGATTTGGAATCCTTATATCCTCATTTACTTGCAATATTGCATTAAAGGCAATTTCGTAACGAATTTATAAATTTTTATGCAATGTGATTGTGTTAAATGTAAATAAATAGTCACAACGTTAGCTTTACCACATCAATTAATTACAATAATAACAATTATCTAAAAAATGGAATCTTTTATAGAACTTTTATTAGACATTTGTTTTTACGCCTAAACATTTACATGAATAATTCTCTATGGACAACAAATTTAGAGAACATTTATGAAGAGAGCAAAATATCATACACGAAATATATACAAATATAATACTCGTATTTGATTGACAGTTTTCATTAACACGATCCACGACAAAAAAGCTATACGCGTAGTAAAAATAGATCTTTAATCGCACTCTGAGATCTCTACATTACACAATAGTACCTACCATTAGCCGGTCCTAACCTTTCACTGCGTATTCCGATCGCATCGCTTCTTGTAACACTGTGGGAATATTATGATAGCTAAACTGCGTGAAATGATTACGTTCATAACTTAAAAACTTGTGTAATTAAAGTTATCATCACATCTTGGAAATTATCATTAGATACTTAGTATTATTTGTTAAAATTCGAAAGTAGAACCCTTTCTTTATATTTGAAATGTAAAATGGATATATTTCATAAGTACATAGTTTAGATGTGTTTCTTTTATTCAGTTAAACCTAATAGGATTTCATACCTGTTGTATATAAATAAAACAGGCTCTATTAACTGCAAAACTAAATTATTCTTTAAAATTGACTTACACTAAAACGTCTTAAAGAAATTTTCGAACATATTACTACATCTAGGAGATCTTGAAGGTAAGGCTTAAGTAACGAAACGTTTTCCTTTTCACCATTAACGAAAAGGAACTTTCACTCCGAATCAAGGCGGAATAGTTTTAAAATAACTTAAATATGTTAATTTTAACTGAGTAATTTTTGGTTCATGAAAGTAATGATTTCAAAACATACTGTTTTAATAATAAGCATCCGTTACGGTATTAGATATTGTTTGTTTTTACACCTAAATATAGTGTAAAACGAAATAAATAATTAATTTAAAGTTTATTAAAATTTAATTGGGGATTCGTTGAAAAGGATTCATTTTAATTCGTAGAACGATGCGGAATGATCTAATCAATTACCGTACAAAAACTCGTGAGAACCACTTTTACTTTTACATTCTTTGGTTGCCATAAACAAACCGGTTCCTTCATCTGTCTATGGTACATAATGATGACTATCAACACACTATTTTGTCACCATTTCTCCCGCCATTCTGCTGTATTAATAAAAGTCCGATTAGTAATACCACGTTTAAACGATTAATAAGTGTTTTTATTTTTCATGAAGTTATTGCAGTTTGTTATGTTGGTAAACAAAAAACATAGCGGTTGAAAGTTGGTGGTGGTGTGGTGTAGATTTTATTCCCACCGTTCTTAGTGCCCTTCATTTGAGAATTTGTTGAAAATGTTATTTTTGAGACTACTGACTTTCATTAGTAGGTAGGTACATAACGTTACGTATAAATTGCTTGCAATAGTATGCATTTAATAGTATGATTAATTATTTATTATGAAAGTACATTCCTCCTAGAACTCCAATTTAGGTGATAATTAATAGTTTACACTTTACACAATAGCAATAATAAATTAAATAAAACAGTTATAGAACTAAAACCTTCTTTGCTATTTTGCATATAACTACCGTAATATATGGCAAATATATCTTAAATATAATTTAGGATACTTAATCAGAGTGTGAACTTAAGAGAAAGCCACAAAAAGCTTATAATTGTTGTCACGGTTTCATATCCTATTCGCAAGTCATATTGTGACTGTTATATTAATTTCACGCCTATATTATAAAGGTTAATGATAGATACAGTTATTTAAATTATTGCAGTGTTTAAGTCTCATTTAATATTGTAAATTTAAAAAAATCGTTGATGTTGATTTAACAATGCAAAGACGATTTAAATAAGCACGAGTGTCCTGAGTAGGCTTTTTATATTTTTTAATTGCATATATATTAATCTAGAGTAGGTACCTAAACGAAATAGGTTGTTAGCAGTTGCGCTTTCCTGATTTCCTAAATTAACAATACTTTTACGCGTCGAATTGATAAATAATATAAGAAAAGAAAAGAAAAAGATTATTTTTAAATTATTTATTGTTTACAGGACAGGGGGCAAAGGGGCAAGAAGCTTACCTAATGTTAAGATACTGCCGCCTATAGACATCATCATTGGCAGGAGGATCGGGAGTGGCTTACGGCTTTTATGATTTTGGTACTAAATGTATCGAGTTTCTTGAAAATAATAAAGAATACTTTTTGTTATCATTTTTTTTATATAATAGGAAGCAAACGAGCAGGAGGCTCATCTGATGTTAAGAGATACCGCCGCCCATGGACACTCACACTGCCAGAAGGCTCGTAAGTGCGTTGCCGGCCTTTCAAGAATTGGTACGCTCTTTTCTTGAAGGACCCTAAGTCGAATTGGTTAAATGGCATCCAATAAGTTTATTAAAATACTTTCCTTTTTTCATAACTTTGATATAGACAGTTAACGTAACCGGAAACTAATTTACCTACTCGCAAAATGTAATAAACAATCTAATCGATATAGACTTCATATCATCCGAGGTGAGAATATTTAATTTAGAATAAATTAATCGGTTAACGAACCGATTACATTAAGATTATGTTTCGTCTGGTGTATGGCTGATTATTTAAATAAAATATTATTATTTATTAAAGTTTTTAGAGTGTAAATGAAGTATATATTTAAACCTTAAATATGTATGTGGACCTGGCGTTGCGTGGAAATAAGCGATAAATAGCGTAAAGCAATTTTTTTAATAAACATATGAATAACGATCTCCAGGTTTTGACGACTACACAACGATCAAAACAATCTACGCTTATAAAAGATGGGAAGAAAACTTGTTATATTAGCATTATCTAGCAAACGTGAAACATCAAGACACCGAATTATTAAAACTGTGTTTTATTTTGTTACGAACTTTAAATATTTAAAAAATAAAGCAGACAGAAAATTAATATCATTAAGTAAATCTAACGGCATAATCTAGCAATATTCGTTATATATATATGTCTCCTACGGTTACATAAACAAGGTGATTACATATTATTAGATAAGTTCTCAAAGAAGTGACATAACGTATCAAAGAGGACACTCAAATGGTCATCGTCGTTAGACTCATAGAAGGCTTAATTATGTGTTAGATCATTTCGTAATACTTGTTGGTGATATAATTGTCTTTAAGGTGTACTACTTTTAAAGCATATATACGGAAATTCGGCAGACTACGGCAAAGAAGAAGCTAATAAGGGATTTAAGAATCTAGTAGTATTCATCCACCTCTCTCTGGGCCGGGTCTCACTTTATTAAAAATTCTTAATTGATACCACAGTCAGAGGATTTTTATAGATTCTGTATACACATAATGCAACTCGGTCACTTTACTAATAGATTACAAATGTTTAATGTATTATTTCTTATTTAAACTTATTAGTTAGGAGACATTGGTTTATACTTCTTGTATTTTTGGTTCGTTGTTCAGTTTTTGTTGAATTAAAGGTTTTCTTCTATCCCTTCTCATCCTATGAATAATATAAGGAATAACTTCATTTTTTTTATATAACATTTGGTTCTGCACTTCTCGCACTCATCATGTTTCTTTTTTTTAGTTTTTCTCTTTAACTAGGGTTGCCTGGAAGAGATCGCTTATTAGCGATAAGGCCGCCCGTTGCATCCCTTATAATTTTTATGTATTGTGTTATTTGTGTTTCTTTTATTTTTATTGCAACGAAGTGTAAATAAATAAAAATAAAAAAATCTTTGGAACTAAACTCAGGATGGCTGGCTATTGCAATTAAATTATTTTATTGCAGCAAAGTTTTGGTTTCCATTAGAACAAAATAATACTCTGAAGGATTAGCGCACATGGCGTTTATATTTTCCAGTTAATCAATTATTATTGAGAAAAATAAGTGTTTCGGTGCGGTGGATCAATATCAAAAAGTTACTTGACTCCAAGGTACTTCAGTAATATAAAATGTACTTACTCTAAACATCGATGGAGCAGATGCAAGAATGCTGAGTCGTCACTCCTCACAGCTGTTGACAGAGCCCTGGACCCAGGTCGACGTTTCCGACCCTTTGAGTTAGTCACACTGCGCGGTGATCCTTTGGAATCTACGAAAAATATCATCAATACTACTACCACAAGTTAAGTAGTAGCTAAAGCTTTGTAAGTAGTAGATTAAATTTATCCTGTTTTTTTCTTGATTATAAGTAAAAAATCACTGAAGCACGCGAAATATCGGGTCTAATATTCATTCAACTTACATAATAAAAGAATGTATGTTTATTTGAATTAAATAACTACATTTACATCAATTGAATGGAAATAATACATTAAATATTCAATATTATTTGCACAAAAGATTTCTCTTAAATTATAAACAATTAAAATTCAATGGGGGCAACATCGCATAGATATTTAAATATTCGCTCGTAAAGAAATTATAATTTGCGTAAATTGTTTATAATATTAAAAGTGAAATTGAAGATTTCTTCCTGAATGTTTAATTAACAATTCATTATTAAACAGTTATAACGAAGATGAATTTTCCAAAATGCTAAACATTATATTTAATTTAATTAATGACGTCTTAACTGGCCCCTTAGAGTCTTAATTGGCCCCACAAACTTAATTATTTTATAAACTTAACTACAAAAAATCTGTGGCGCTACTGCCTGTTCGCTCTGAGCCTTAGATTTATGTATCTGTTTGTGTAATCATTTTTTTTTCTTTACAGACAAGAAGGTTGACTTTTTGGGTCTAAGACGATTTCCTCACGATATTTTCCTTTACGAACGAGTGCACACATATGCAGAAAGTCTGGGGTTTGAACCTCGGGGATGAGAAAGGTTGTACTGTTTGTTGTATTGAAAAATTATAAATCGTCACTGTTGTTTCTTGTCTATAGTATTTCATTGGGGTATTGATTTAAGCAGATAGTTGTGTAGATTTGATAGCTTAAAAAGTGTTCATAACCAAGTTCAAAACTAAACTACTTAAATAACCTAACCAACCACCGGAAAATTATGAATTATTTATCATAATAAACATTCTTACGGCCTTAGCACAAAACGTTGATAAAAGTTACCAACAATGGCTGCGATATTTGTTCCATACTCAAGTTATTTTTTGTATAATACTAATACAGGATAATGGTAACCATGACAACGAATAACTTTAATCCACGTTTCATTATAAGGCCGATAACTTTTTTTTGGTCAACAGATACTCACCAAAAAATAATCTCTTCCTTGTAGCGTGTAATAGGAGGTCCGGTGGCGGTGGACCCAGCAGCTCCATGATACAAGCTAGTTGCTCCGTTTCATTTTCTCCCGGGAAGAGGGGATAACCCGTATGAAGCTCCGCAAGGATACATCCTAGAAATAAATTTGATAAAATATCTCAGTAATAAAGGTGATCAAGAATGTTATGGGGCAATTTCTATTACCAAAATACAATAATTTATATGGGAAAAAAACATTAGACTATATTATTCCAAATCTATTAAACTCGTTACCAGCTGCACTATTTGCTGGTATAACAAGTAACAATATTAAATTTAAATTAAAAAATTACTTTATAAATCGAAGCAATTACAAATTACGCATGACAAAAAAAAATAAGACATCGTCATTTAGTTCATGTTCGAATATTGGAACACGTCAATGAGAGTTCTCGTCAAGAACAGGTTTCTTGCATTGGCTAACTGAAGAGTGACAATGTTTCGATTGGTTTATTTGATGGTTTAATGGTGGAAATGTTGTATTGTATAGTATGTCACTGGCCTAGGTGTGTAATAAGTTAATTATTTAAATATGTTCGACGACCTGGTGGACAGAAAAACTGTGTCCAGTTTGTGTTTCCACCACACCAACTTCTTTCTATTAAGGATCATGTATATAATAAATAAATAAATAAATAAAATAAATCCGCCATTACATTTCAGTGTAGTAAATGAATCAGTTTTCCGATCACCTTCAGCGTTCGTATCTAACATGTTGTACATTTTGGGTAGTTGAGGTTGCGGTATTTATTACTCCCGAATTTTAAATCCTACTGTTTTGTCAAATCCTACCCTTAGAGCATACCCTCAGTGTTGCGACACACATAAGGCAAAACCTCTGGAGTAGTTATATATAGATATATATATATATATATATAGTTAAAAAAGAATTCGCAGGAATAACAATAAAGATTCATACTTTAACTTATCTAAAATACATGTTTCCTTTTTTCATCTTATTATCACAAAATTCTTACATAGAAATTTATGAAAAGGAATCATTAGATATTCAATTCAAATTCAATAATCATGTATTCATATAGGTAACAAAACGTACACTTATGAACATCAAAAAAATAAATATATATCAAATTATTCTAATTTTACATTTACTGCCAATTCTTAAATCAAGGGCGTAGAACGGAAAAGTGGAACTGGCATTAAACTCTCCGCCACTCTTTTAATCGATCTTTTTAATTTATAGGCTACCTCAACATCTAATGGCAGATTTCACATTAATAATGTGATCAGTAAATGTTCTGCTGAATAGCAACTCTTGTAACCATGATACGTAAGATAAAATCCTATTCCACTCTTTTTTGGCCCGAATTAAAGTAAATATGGTGATCACGAAATATTGCTACTGTGTGATGTAGATATGTATTGTAGTCATAGACAAAAATTCAGCTAAGGCCTTTATGTCCCTTTTTTTTTATTGTAAATTATCGCTTATTGTCGAAAGTTAGTCCATATTTTTTTAGGGCTATATTTGAATAATTTTAATCTATTATATCCAAAAATATTTGTAAAAGCTAACAAAATTGTTGTCTATTTTTTCAGATTTTTTGGATTTTTTTTATGTTTTCTAATTAGTTTCCCCAACCTCCGAAAAACCTCTCCCAATACTTACGCTAAATGTAAATATTTACAAAATTCAAGTTATTATTCAAGTATGTATTGTCTCAAAGAGATTGAAGCTGTAACTCCGAATTCCTTGGATTCATTAATTATACAATAAACAGTTTTATACCGAAAACACCCTTTCCTTCGCTTCGTTCTCTACTCTCTCTCTCTCTATCTTGCATGTTTTTCCTTGTTTGTCGAGCTATGTGTTTCACTTTATAATAGTGTTAAAATGCTTAAGTATACGTATGTAAGAACCAATGCAAAACCAACCCTACATATTTTTTTATAAACATCTAGTACTCTTTTCTCTTATCTGATTTTAAAAATGGTTTTTCGATACATGTATCTTAGCGTATCAAAATAATAGCCCATAAGTGGTTCTTTCGTTAGTGTAAAGCCTTAATGTATATTTGCCGATCGCACGTGGAGTCTCGCCGCCTTTCTCTTGCTTTCTACAAGCGGCCAAATTGCGTAACCGGTGACGCTTTAACCTTTAGAAATCCTTTATATTATGCATACGATATTGCGCTTAGTTACAAAGACAAAAAGATGAAGATTCTCTACAGTTTTTTGCGCATGTTCTTGGAGTATTTGTCATGGGGATACAATGAAGAATGTTGATGAAATATTTGGAAACATACATTTGATACTCTCCAACCTTCGTTTCTTAAAATTAAAAAAAATAAAGTTGTGAAAGAATTACTTTGTTAAAGAGTAAGGGAATGTTTTATTTATTAATAGGTTTTTAAAATTTCGTAGGTAAAGTTTTGTAACTCTTAATAAGGAATGTGTTAGACATAAAATATATGTTACTACCAAATATTCTGAATAGATAACAAGGTTTTTACTCAATTTTTTTTTATTTACACTATCTGTTGTTCTGCAGTCTTGTGATGAAGTTACTACGACGACTTGACAGTTCTTGAAGGTTCTACCATTCATATACTTTTCGTCGTCAATTGGATTTGGAACTAGGACCGTACTAGAAATTAGAACTGGCTTCATGTGTCGTTGAGACACATGATGTGGCGGTCATTAGCAACATGCTAAGTATTATTTGATGTATGTTTAATGTAATAACAGTCAATAAAAAAATGAAACTACTCCAAATGTCTATTTACTACCACTTTTACAGTTCTCAATTCAAGGCCAAAGAATGGAGAAAAGGTAGCAAGAAATTCTATCCCACTCTTTTTAATTGCCAAGTATTTTGGTTTATAAGATGCTTGTTGTAGCAACTACAACTGCAACCATTAGGTACATCATGACCGACTTGCCATATTGTAGCAAATCATCAAAAGAATAAATGTAAACTAACGCTTAATTGAGAACAATTGACTTACTTAAAAAAACCAACAAAACATAAAAGTAAAATATTTAAAATAGTTAAGTAGATAAAAGTTTTTTTTTCGAGAATGAATTTTCACAAGGGCGTCTCCTCAGGCCTTGGCATGGGGCGTCGCGGTGTGTGCAATCGCCTGAAGGCCAGGCTTTTAATCTGTCATCGGCTACTGTGATTGGATCATCTGGATCCGTTAAGACCTGACGGGGTTTTAAATGTCCCAATTGCTTCTAATTTAAAAGTACTCACCCATACTCCACATATCAATGGGCGTTCCGTACTGAAGTCCCAGTATGACTTCAGGGCTGCGGTAGAATCTGGACTGAATATATGTGTAGACTCTCGCATGTGTGTAGCACGAGCTACCAAAGTCAATCACTTTGATTGAGGAACTGCCACGTGCTTTCAGGAGTATGTTCTCCTGAAATAAGTTAAAAAAAGATGAAATCAATCAAAAGTAACATTTATTTTTAAACCCATTAATTAACTACTTAATGTGGTTTGAAATACAAAAAAATCGGATTTGTAATGATTTGTCAGCACTGAGTAAAACAGAAGATTACATTAAAAAATAAGATGTATAAACCACATATAAATTTTCTATGATCTTTATTTGATTAAAAAAACATTATTAATCTGTAACCGGTATGACTTTTGAACGTTCCAATAAATTCGTTAAAAAGCCTAACTACGTTGTGAAAAGGGTAATCGAGACTTACTGGTTTAAGGTCGCAATGTATAATGTTTTCAGCTTCCAGTAGCCTCAAGCAGCGGAGTAGCGAGCTGGCAAATCTTCTGATTAAACTGAGACTGAAGCCCTGGTAATTGTTCTTCTTAATCAACTCATACAGGTTTATACTGAAAAAAACAGAGGAAACTATGAGAACCATCTTTGAGCCATCCATAAACATGTTTTCCAAATTTCTCATTGATATGCTGACTTTTCGTGGTAATTTATGTCATTTTGAAGTAAAGGGTAGGCATATTAGTTAAAATCATAGCAAATCTAACAATTATAAGAATTTACTTTCTTGCCGTAGATGTTAACGAAAATGTCATTTATAGTACATACATTTTAACAAAGCACGAAACCCGAGGCTAAGACTCATAGAATTTTGTTACATTTTTTACGTAATTAATTATGTTTATGTATTTCTAAATGTTAGTTGCATCCGTCTGAAACAATCTTATGTCGCCCTGGAGCAGCGTTCAAATGTGTAAAATAATAATTTAGTTAGTGCCTTATTTATTATTATATCAAGCATAAACAACTTATATATTATGGGTATTTTGATGAATGATTCAGAATACGTTATCTCATTAAATAACATAATATTTTCTCTTTCTATCTATGTAAGATATATATAGGCCTTCTTTAAATGTTATATATACTAACCTCATAAGCTCAAAGCTGATACACAAATGATTTCTGAAGTAGAAGTAATCCAGCATATGTATAACGTTGTGGGCTTGATCCTTGTCCTTAAGTCGTAGGTGATCTAGGACTCGAACCTAAAATTTGAGGTATTATCACGGGGAAAGTAAAAAAAAATTGTCTGTTATTATAGAATTAATGAAAATACTATACATATTATCTTCTAATATATAAAATTCTCGTGTCACAATGTTCGTTCCCATACTCCTCTGAAACGGCTCGACCGATTCTTATGAAATTTTTATGCATATTCAGTAAGTCTGAGAATCGGCTATTATCTATCTTTCAAACCCCTAAGTGCCTAACCCAAAATTATTTTTTTTATTTTTAGAGATTTTATTTGTTTTTATTTTTATATATAAAAATAAATATTTCCACGCAAATGAGATGACACGAAAAGCCAATTAATTCAGATTAAATATTACTTGAAGAGTTAGTGAACTGCGGTCTAACTCTGTAACTTCCAATAGCGACAACGAACCGATTTTGTATGCAAGTTCGACGTAGTTCATTCAATATCCGTAGCGCTGATGTTTCGATTTCGATGTCCTCTTGGGATCGCGCGGTATAAAAACTTATTATTGGGATCGAGATTACTGTCGGTATAGCAACCGAAGTTACAGAGTAAGAGCCAGAGGGCACAGACACCGGACATATATATGCATTATACGGTCTTATACGGTATTAGGGTCATAAAGTACCTCAACAAGCGCCTGGTGATGAAACCGTTTCTTATTCCTGATAATCTTAATTGCCACTTGTGACCCTGAGCGGTGGTCAAACGCTCTTATCACCTGCCCAAAAGATCCCTTTCCGATCACCTCCAGGATTTCGTAGCGGTATGCTATGTGATCGTGAATTTGCTGGAATGGAATACAAATTTTATTTTTGAGATTGAATCAAATATAGTTAATAACTTAAGTATTAAAACACGTTTAGGTTTTACAATTGTTTGAGAAACTGATTTTTTTTAACAAACAGGGTTCTAGTTTAAATATACCTTTTTTCTACATTGTTCTACCGTCTACGTTAAGCTAGCGTCATCTAGTGAGTGAGACATTTGAGACCTTATTAGACACTGAATCCAGTGGCGTAGCTACCTAGGGGCTAGGCGGGGCAGTGCCCCGGGGCCCTCAAGCTCAGGGGGCCCTCGAATCCTCACCAGAAATCTCGATCGTTCTGAACTTTTGGAAATTTCTCCCATTTTCAAAATAAATATGACAGGTGGCAACCCCACTTTAATCAAGACATTAATTTGAGAGAAATTCAAAAGTTATACCTAGGGAATTCCCCTAAATTCTTTCTGTAGGTTGGCAGTGTTGAGTGTTGTCAATTTGACGGATAGTTTATATAATATACCATTGAATCTTCTGTATTTCAATTCGCCAAACCTACACCAAGTATTCATTGTAATTTATGTTGTTACTCTTTAATATTTTTATTACCTGCCCTGCACATAAAAGAGCTTAAGTAGCTTAGCATTTTTAAAGTATTTGTATATTTCATATTTTTATTTGATAAAACCTAATCAGTTTACATAGCAGTGGGGCCCCATTTTTTAATTTGCCCCAGGGCCCTTGGTCACCTAGCTACGCCACTGCACTGATCATACCCTAGTTGGTTGTAAAGCTACGGTTTCCTAGAAAAGCGGTGCCGTTATCTAACGGCCGTAATGTAACGTTGGGTGACGTCACCCATACGTTGTCTATAAATAACATCGGAGTAGGTTTTCTAGAGAACGTTGAGTGCCACCGTAACGTCAAATAGCGGTGCTGTCATTTACATGACAGCCGTCATAGCGGTGATAAACATTAGTTCAACGTTTTTCACGTGTAGCGGGGCCCATATTTAATTAATACAATGAGTGGAAACGTGACTTGGACGAGCGAAAATGATTGTTTTTTTTTCGTTATGTTAAAAAGTAAAGACGGCCGTTATTAACAACCATAAAAATGACGGCCGTTAGTAAACGGCACCGCTTTTCTAGGAAACCTATGCTTAATACAAACCATTTGAAATACAAGTGCCTAACAAGCCTAACAAAACTAGAGTGCGTAATATTAAGTACATAAAAAACAGGACATTTTATGTTAACGGTCTCTAAACAAGATAGAAAGTCATTCCTTATTCCATATGCAGTTGTCAGCTAGTCGAGTATTAAGTTTTTTTATTTAGATAGGAACTAAAATTATTTATTTAAAAGGCGCCACACATTACGGCTTTTAGCAATATTAAACTATCATAAATGTGCGCGAATGTTTTTGTGAGGACAATATATATTGTGAATACTTGATAACCATCTTACCTTGGTATAACTGCCATTATCATCATCAAATCCACAATTGTTTGGCAGATTTGAGCGCGCATGAATCTTATTCGACTCAAGGCCAAGAAACCATACTTCTGGATATTTGCGTATCTCGTTCCTTTCCCAATCAGTCAGGCGCTCGCTGAATGCCTTCAACGCTTCTGTAATAAAAAAGTAAAGAAATATTAACATTTATCTTTTATAAAAAACAAGTTTTATTGATATTCCTTTCATTTTATTTCTTAGCCAACCAACTTTATCCGTGAAAACCGAAACGACGAAATGGCGAAACGAAATCGACAAGATAAGCTACAGTAGATCTTTGTAACAATGACAAGGAAAATTATTTACCTATATATTATTACTGTTTAGATACATCAGAAGGTTCAATATGTTTTTATATTAGAATTCAAATTCCATAATTTATTTTTAATCGGTATGGAGTATAGAGTATGGTTTGATTTTTGGTGATTATTGCCAATATAATATTATCACAAATAGTCACCCCTATCACTTCCAAACGGGTATACGTCGAATCAGCAATAACCATGTATAATATTATAGTGAAAGATGTGCAACGAAAAAGTTATAATCTCCAGTTATGTAAGTTATAAGTTCCAGCATTCTTTCACTATTAGAATCCTACATTATAATTTATTGTTCTCAAAATTAAAAAAAAGTAACATCAAGCCATACGAAGCCGGAAAATACCGCTAATAATATATTTTAAGGGAACTTTCCCCTGACATTTAACTAGCGACCTGGGGAATTCAGTTTACGTGAGAGCATAAAACGACATTACCTGCTGGGAGACGGAAATATGTCAAGGACGTGTCAGATAAAGGTGAGATCGTATATACCATAAAAGTTAAAAGGTACCTTATTATTTACGAATATTTATACAAATAATAATCATTATTAAATTTCGAGTTTATCTGTTATTAAATATTAGAAAGACTAAAAATATTTCGGTTTTATATCAAGAATACTTATATTTTAATACAAGAGAACGGCTGTCAAATATTCATCTAGTACTTAAGGGGTAAAGGGTATTTTTACATTTTAGACTTTTGTTAAATAAAGAACCTATGTAATTGGCACAGTACTAGTTTTAGCACAAAAAGCGCCCCGGGCGAGTTTTCTACGGCACCCCGTAACTAGAATTTAAACCCCTACGAAAAAAAGGCAAAGGATATAATGAAGCAACCATTCATTAAAATAAATCAGCATTTATAAAACAAAATCTAATAAAAAAATTATTTTTCTTTTTTTTAAATTTTTTTTTTTTTTTTTTTTTTTTTTTTTAATTTTTTTTTTTTTTTTTTTTTTGGATGGGTTTTTTTTTTTTGGGGTTTTTTTTTTTTTTTAAAGAATTTGGGGAAAGCCCCCCCACACCTGGGTAAAACAAATTTTCTGACAGCTTATCAGTCAATGTTTTTAGAAATTTCATTTTCGATAAACTTGCCAATTTGGCATTCTGAAAAGGTGGGAGCTTGTAGTTTATTGTTTATCAGAATGCCAAATCATAAAATGACTGCTTCACGACTGATTTGAGAGCGACCGCCGATGTAAAAACCGCTGTGTGAGTTCGAAAAGTGAGTTACAGAATCGCAGGGCTGCTAAGAGATTTATGTCCAAAATTCTCCTGTGAACTATAATGAATGAAAAATATTGTTAATATTTTCCTTTCATTTTGGCCTCGTTGTCATACCCCGACCATTATAATCGTTTAATTCCAGTCCATATTTATTTGAAACAGCAATAAGTACTTCAGTTAGTCTTGCATCAGTCGATTCGTTCACAGGTATAAATTCTATGAAATACTCTTTTACTGATATATTATCGTCATCTGATGATAAATCGACATGTACATGCCAAATTCAGGTCTTGATTATTTGTTGTGATATATTTATCTATATTCATAGATTTTTGTTTTTAAAATTCCAACATAAAGATATTTCGCCGGAATTTGCCGACAATCAGAACGCAAAAGTTGGAAAGAACAAATGTGCAGTTAATTTTTCTCAATTTAGAGGTACCTTTTTACTATAAAAAAAGTTGGAAATTTTAATTCTTACCATTAATTACAGGTAATTTATAAAAAAAAGTTGTAAACAAATTATGAATAATAAAAAATAAAAGATGTCTACAATTAAACTTAACAATTTTTCAAATCAAATTAAAACAATAAACTGATTTAAAAATTTTCTTAACAATACAAAGTTTTTAGTCAGCTTTTGAAGTGAATTTGCATTCTAATTAGGGTAGTAGATTTACGTTAAATTAAATAGCAAGTGGTGTACAAATTGTCAAGATGGAAATACCCATAGTTGATGGACATGTGGCGAAACATTCTAGAAACCTTTTGCTAAGCATACTGTGGCATTCGAGAATGTAGTCCTCCATCTAAGAGTAAGGGTATATATATATATATATTTTTTTTTTTTTTTTTATTGTCTCGGATCCTTAGTGGAAGTCAATTGTTTATAAGAAGAAAGAAGAGTGTTTATTAAAGAAGTAAAAACCAATCGTCATAAGGTTAATGACAAGAAATAAAATATTAGGTCCTTACATATGAAATTGGCGTATTTCGAACAGGCCACTTTAATCACGATGTTCTCCTCTTTGGTAAGGAATTCCAAATTCAAATTTGTACAGCTATTTACTCATGTATTTGTGCTTCGATGACCGTCATTCATTTGTTTTTTTCTTCTGTTTTTTTAAGTTTGCGTCACTCATTTTACAAAATGGAAAACTTAAAGTATCGCATTATTTACGAGTACGAGTTCCGCCGTGGCACTAGTGCTGCGGAAACGACTCGAAGGGTGAATGATATGTATGGCAGTCATGTTGCAAAAGAAAACACAGTTCGTTTTTGGTTCCAACGTTTTCGTTCTGGAAATTTCGACCTGCAGAACAAGCCTCGTGGACGGCCTGAGACCCAAGTTGATAATGAAGTATTGAAGGCTATTGTAGAAGCGGATCCATCGCAAACCACGTCCGAGTTAGCTGCAGACTGCGGTGTTAGTGATAAAACTGTTTTAATTCACTTGAAACAAATTGGGAAGATTAAAAAGCTTGAAAGATGGGTACCTCACGAATTGACTGAAGCAAACCGGCAAACGCGCGTCGACTGCTGCCTTACATTACTGAACCGGCACAATAATGAAGGTATTTTAAACCGAATCATTACCTGTGATGAAAAATGGATTCTTTACGATAATTGGAAGCGCTCAGCGCAATGGTTGGATCCTGGCCAGCCAGCCAAATTCTGCCCCAAGCGAAAATTAACCCCAAAAAAGTTAGTTGTAAGCGTTTGGTGGACTAGTGCCGGTACTGTTCATTGCAGTTTTCTCAAATCTGGCCAGACTATTACGGGTGACGTCTATTGTCAGCAATTGCAAACCATGATGGAAAAGCTAGCGGCTAAACAACCTAGGCTGGTCAATCGCTCCACGCAACTGCTACTTCACGACAACGCTAGACCACACACTGCACAACAGACGGCTACCAAATTAGAAGAGCTTCAATTGGAATGTCTAAGACATCCTCCGTACTCCCCGGACCTTGCTCCAACAGATTACCATTTTTTTCGAAATTTGGACAACTTCTTGCAAGTGAAAAAATTTAACTCTGATGGGGCAGTCCAAATCGCCTTCACAGATTTTATTGATTCCAGTCCGACTGTTTTTTTTAGTAAAGGGATCAATGAACTACCTATGAGATGACAAAAGTGCATAGAAAACAATGGTTCATACTTTGATTAATTAAATATATTATATTTAAAAATATTCGACTTTTTGTTCCTCCCATACAAAACGCCAATTTCATATGTAAGGACCTAATATATGTAAAGTTATCACGAAGGTTCGAAAAAGGTTCGAAAATACAAAAGAGCCAAAAATAGCGATTGAGATTCGAACACGTACAAATGAAAGTTTGCCATTCAAACATATTAGGAGCTTATAATCACGGTACACTGGCTTTGAATACTAAGCAGGCTATATTCGGCTTGGGCCTTTCAATAGCGAGAAATGACAAATAGAAATCTATTTGTATTGTCATTTTCACACAAATTAAATTTACACGGCTGGCGAATATATTTTAGTATTTTATTTTAATAAGGGTATCAATATGAATTGTTATTTCAGTTAAGCATATGATCCCGTAAGTTTTAGGTAAAGGTATTTTTAATACTTTTTGGTATTATAGATAAAGACATTTTTAAAATTATAATCAATTTAACATAAACCAAATAAATTTTGTATCAAGAAATTTAACTAAGATGACGACTCCTTTATAATCAATCAAAAGACGGCAAGCAATAAAAATTTATTTGTAAATATGTTTTAATTTAAAAGGAAACTGAAGGCGAACACACACATGGATCTCAAACCGAGCAGTTTTTACAATATAAATTATGATTATAAACTAAAAAATATAAACAAACTAGTTAATTTTACCCTACTTAAAATATGTTTTACTTTCTATTCGACTCGGATGAGTATTCAGCAATATTATCGATAAAAGTCACTGAAGTCAATAAACTGTCGCGAATATATTTTCAAGAAAGCTTTACAAAGGAATAGCAAGTCACGCCTACGGCTATAAATCTTTGCTGTTTCGTGTTACATGTGTAAATCGTACATTTTCGATATATGATACAGCAAGTTTATGTATCAATTTGGCAAATTAATAAATTTATTATTGACTTAATAATGCTTGAGAATTGTTTCTGTCTTATGTTACTACCGTAAATTTTAATGTAGAATGGAGTAGTTGGGTCCGTTACATTGATTTTCTCTCGTTTCTTTGTAAATGTAGATAAATAAAACTCATTCAATTGTTAAAACTAAAAGAAAATTTGTATCTTTATGTTGCCCTAAACGGCCATGAGACACAGAATAATGTCTGTGATTTTTTTTCATCCAAGTAAGTGATCAACTCTCGAGCTAAAATAAAATGAAAAATCTCGCACAAACTATCTCGCAGGACTTTCGGCATAAATCTGTGGAAACTGTTAAATATGCTACTCTATAATTAATGCTATACTTACAGAATGTATGGTATTTTATAATAAATTAAAATATAAAATGGTTGATCTTTAAAAAGATAACTAAAATCTACTTAATAACTGAAATGTTATACAGGATGGCCAAAGAGTCGTGGATCAAACGCAAATATGGATATATGAAATCATCAGCTGCAAAAATCGTTCTACGGGTGGTCTCTAAGCTAAGCCTAAGCTCTAAGTCCCTGCAGAGGTTTAATTTATTTTGCGTTTTTATAAGAAAATTGACTTTTTTTACTAATTCTTATTAAAATTTGAAAAACTCTACATCCTGTATCTTTTTCATAATATCCACTAGATTGGTACTAATGAGTCCTTGCGTTAGACATACTATTTATAGTTGTTTATTGAGTGTATTGAAGATAATATTAAGTTATACGATATAAAAATTTCTAAAATCATAACTTTTTGTTTACGTCGGACCCGTCGGAATAGGGTATTACACATGGCCATGAGTCGCTCTAATATCTTTTTCTACCTACTTACTTACTTGATATCTTTATAATTTGTAGCCTATGTGTTATTCTGATATAATTTGTAAAGTTTCATTAAAATGCATTCAGCAGTTTTTACGTGAAAGAGTAATAAACATCCATCCATCTATACTTACAAATTTCGCGTTTATAATATTAGTGGGATTAAACGTTTAATCTTTATATGTATCCAGATTGAACAATATTTCTCAACAGTATATAACCACCACAGACCTTATAATAAAAAGACAATAAGATAATCCACCAATACCTGTGAATAAATAACAGACTATGTAAACTTGAGTTTATTTAAAAAATACACAGTTAACACATGTCTAAATCCGCATGCTCTATTGTTCTTGGTCCAATTAAGTGATGTTGACCTACATGCATGTGAGACCTCGCGATAACTGGCATAATCTATGCCCTTGTCTCTGAACTTCAGCAACGATGGTCAAGTGATGCGGCTCTTTACAATTTAGTTAGTAAAAAGTGACTTATAAAATGTACTCAGTTAAAAAAGAAAACGGAAGTAGACTACAAAATTCCTTGTTTATATTTCATGAAACAAAAGAATTTTTTAAGTTTTTTATTACAAAAATTACACGCCGTTCAAATTCGAATCAATTTACAAACTTTATAATCTTGATTATAGTATGAAAACTAGTAAACTTATGTCATATTATGAAGTTATCAATCTTGTTCCTTCAACACTGTTACCATTTAGATTACGAAAACAGGATAAATACGTAACAATAATAATAATAACTCTTTATTCATCCACATCTTATTTACATATATTAAACAAAAATAGATATAAATAAAATTTCTACTACTCTAAGATTCGCCCTCTGTCCGGGAGAAGACCTCCTCCAACATTTTCCACCCTATTTTATTTTGCGTCACAGTCATCGAGTTTTTTCCAGGTACCCGGCGGCCCATCGGTCTATTGGTCTGTTCCTTTTTCCTTTTGGACCAGTCCATTCGGTATATATTTATAATTAAGACATAATAACTTTTATTATAGTATTACTTCTATTATACCAGTTTCTCGTAACGTTAAATAGCGTGAAGAAACTGCCATTTATAAAACCCAAAATTGACGGTGTGTGTCATGGATAAAAGAATTATTCATCATTTAGCCAACAAAGAGGAAAACGGAGAGAAAAGCTACAGCTAAAACTAATTATTATAGCATCTCTGTTTTTTAAACGGTATTTTATTTAGAGTTGATAGTAGACAATCAAAGCTTGGATTATAAAGTTTCCAATAAATCTTTCGTGTTTTGTTCATTAATTTAGTTAATAAAGAATACATTATCTTACCCATGTAACTTTATTTTAACGAAAAAACTTCTATAGGATTAGAATGGCCAAAAAGTGGAACAAAGTTATGTGACAACTTTCATTATTACTATAATGTTATATCGATGTATGACGTAAATAAGTGACAATAACTTCTTGGTAATAATTATTGCAACTGTTACATAATGATCTTCATGTTTATTTCATTAAAAGAAGCATTACAACTGCACACATCCCTATTTACAAGTGTAAGGTCATCTAGTTAAAGGCTAGTTTGAGAGATACATTTTTTTTTGACGATCATAAGTCTACATTGTGTTACCTATATGATTAAATGATTTTTGAATTTGAATTTGAAGAATAGTTTTACGCTTTGGTAAATTGATTGCGAAGTCCCATATCCGTAATACAAAGGCATAAACACCATCATTATGTTATCTGTCTGGTTTTGTGTTAAGCTGTATTGTGCTATGGAACATAGTGCCAATCCTGGACACTATAATATGCTACTAGTAAATAAACAGACATCGAATATGTGTATATTCCACCTGTGTACAGCTAAATTTTTTGTGTATTAAACTGTTAGAAACATTCAGTTATACATATATTAAAATTTAATGAAAATAGATGTTTAGATTTATATATTATACTAATACAACAGTAAAAGAGGACAATAGAGGGAAGTTGACGTAATTGGTGAAAAATCCATTTGAGCTTATTGTGTATCTTCATTCAACTTTAATATCATTGTACCACCTAGGGCCTAGTACTAATAATCTTCGTAGTAAGTTTGCAAAGCGCAAAAATATTAACCTCCTTATTCACAAATACATTGCACCATTTTAACTAAAGTTTTAATTTGGTTTAATTCGTTTAGTGCGGTGGAATTAGAATACATCTTTTATGAATTACGTGGTAACAACTTATTTATGAATATTGTAATTAATGAAAAATCTTAGACTTTACTTGACGAACGATAACCAAATTTAAAAACAGTTAGTCTTATGTAGGTTTAAAATGAGAGATCAATATAATACCTACTTTATTAAAATCAATGTCTTACTGGCATGGTAGACCTGCTGAAATCTTAAAAAAGACGACTGAAAAAGCGAAATGTATCAATCAGTATCGGTAGTGACGTGATAAATTATTTACATAACTATGCCGTGACCTGAATCTGCGCTGTCAATGAAATTTTCGTTCCATTTCTCTTCCATTTCAGTATTGAAAATTTTACTGTAGGCAGTGAAAAATTCTAAAATATACTCATGCAAGCAGTATTCTTAATGATGATTAAAATGTAAGGTGGACAATAAGGCTAAATATAACTATTATTATTATTGACTTTCTATGTGTGTGTATATAATGTAATGCCATAACGACACCCAAACCCATCAAAAACATAACTTGTATAAAAAACATGTATCGCTGCATGTAAAACCAAATTGGTTAATTTATTCAGTTTCCAACCGCAACAGCTTTAAACAGAAGTAACCTTCTGTTTGAAGCTGTTATGAAGTTAGCTAACCTAACAATGTACAATATCAATATTAAAAACCTTTTGTTTAAAAAAATACATTGACTCAGTCTCAGTTGGTGTATCGAGAAAAACGGACCGAAATTGCAAAATATATATTTTTCTCCTTGATGTACTAATTACAAATTGTATGCTAAACTTGAAGCTTCTACGTCTGCTAGAATTGCCTTAGAGTTTTGATGATCGGTCAGTCAGTGAATGAGTGACAAAACTACGAAACTTTGACTAGTTAAAATTCTTAAACTACTCTTTAAAACTGAATTAAATATACAGTGTTTGTACAACGCCTACTGCAGCATATAGGGGAGTCGAAAATGGCCTTTGCGATTCTGGCGATGCCGAATTTCACAGCGGCGGTCGCGCTCAAATCAGTCGTAAAGCATTTTACGATTTGGCATTCTGATAAACAATAAACTACAAGGAGGGACCTTATCAGAATGCCAAATCATAAAATGACTGCTTCACGACTAATTTGAGCGCGACCGCCGCTGCGAAAACCGCTGTGTGGGCTCGAAAAGTGAGTTACAGAATCGCAGGGCTGCTTCGAGAAATGTATATACGCCTTTTTCGGTCGACTACTACCGTGACTCCGATTCATTATTACGACCCCAATTGGACAGCGCAGACATTTGTTTTTAAAACATTTATATCGGGTCTATGTAAGTTTATATGTTGGCTAAGTCACACGTAACTGCTTTCCATCCTCATAGAGGATATTGAAAGAAAGTTATTCTAAAATATTAGGTAGTTATGATGATGTTTAGTTAAAAAGGAAACGAAGTAATAATTTGGCATCTCCTAGTCTTGGCGAGTCTTCTTGTATCCAACTTGTCCCAGTAAACTTTTGTGGTCTATGCGGCTTGTAAACTTTTGTTGTCGACAAGTATTAGCATTTTCTTATTGAAACTTTTCTTGTTATCTTCTTTCTTGGGCTACTTTATTAGACCCGAAGGCTACAATTTGACGATAATATTACAAATAATTAAACATTTAAAGTTTTGAGCATTTAAGACGCACGATTGGAGTTTACTCCTTACGAACGATAAAATGGCGATAATGTTCTGTGGCTGTCGACCATATTTTCATACTAAAGGTGGAATATATGTTTTTATAATATAAATGTTTGTAGTAGTAATAAAACGTACCTACTCCATCTATGCTCAAATAGGATTTTCTTTCTGTGACCAAAGTTACCTTTATAGTAAGAGAAGAATAAGAATGAACAATCTTTTTAGTTTTAATTGCACTGACTAATTACTATTGACAAAACTCTATGGCACGCTAGACAATCTACTTTTATTTTTTACACCTGTCAACACTGACAATGTTGTAACGTGGCTGTCAAAACGTGAATTCAAAATAGAAAAGTCTGTGTAATGTATTCCATCTAATTCTTTTACACGTTCAATCCTACAGTTATATATGTTTGTCTCTTTCTACATAACGCCTCAACTTTTCGTGTTACACTTGACTTTACTCCTCATAAAATTTCCGTACTGGGCCTTATAACTCAAATCGTTTCTTAAGGAGTAAACTCTATATGTTTGTCTCTTTCTACATACTCACTTTTCGTGTTTCTACATAACGCCTCAACTTTTCGTGTTACACTTCATTTTACTCCTCATAAAATTTCCGTACCGGGCCTTATAACTCAAATCGTTTCTTAAGGAGTAAACTCTATATGTTTGTCTCTTTCTACATAACGCCTCAACTTTTCGTGTTACACATAACGCCTCAACTTTTCGTGTTACACTTGATTTTACTCCTCATAAAATTTCCGTACCGGGCATTATAACTCAAATCGTTTCTTAAGGAGTTAACTCCAAAAAATATTTGTAAATATGTTTTAATTTAAAAAGAATCTCTGAAGACCAAAACACACATGGATCTCAAACCGAGCAGTTTTTACAATATAAATTATGATTATAAACTAAAAAACATAAACAGACTAGTTAATTTTACCCTACCTAAAATATGTTTTACTTACACGTATTTAGTTTCTTATAATTAATAAAAAAAAATTGTTTTACTTAATAACTTAATTGTTTCACTTAATTTTTTATTTAATTATTTCTTATATTTATTGAAAACTAAGAATATAGTGATTCGGTGTTTTAAGCAGGCCCATAAAGTGCAACAACAGTTGGAAACATCAACGATTATACCAGACATTTAAGTATCGTAGTTTTAAAATATTGGTTAGTGATTATAAATAAGTAAACAAACTCTTAGGAAAAGTATTCTTTGAAGAAATAGTATAGTTTTTACTCGTTGTTCTAATCCGAAACGTTTACCGTTTTCCGAACAAGACTCTTGACGATGCCAACGATTTGATGACGCAAATGCGTGAGTTTTACGTGAATATTTTTTACTTTTTGCTTATGAAATTGTATATATAACTCTTCTAAAGGATGTTTCTTAATAATACATAGAAGGTACATATAATGCATATATACATGCTATAAATAAAGATACCATTTCCATGATTTCATGCACCTTAAAGGCTTAGCCTTTTGGTTGCAAATTAACATTAAATCTACTCTTATGCCGAATGTCACATCCCTACTGGAGAACCCGTGGCCCTATAACTTGTTATATTGGCATTGTTATTCTAATGTGTACAGTATTGTTTTATGTTATAATGTTGAATAACAAGGTTAATAGAGTGTTATAAAACACAAGTTATATAACATGTTACATAGTCTGTACGCACCCTTAGGTTCCAAAAACCAACACAGACACAGTGCACGCATAACAATTCTCAGCCACACTCTCAAATACATACGCCCATATACCCATTCGCATACCTACTCACACATTCACGCATATTAATGTCTTATACGACTTGTGTTTGCTTAGTTGTAACACACTAATTTTTCTAAAAAAATTGTATATATTATAACAGTGGGTAACTAGATAAAAATAATTGTTATCAACACAGCGACTCTTTAGTGTGGGGACTAGCGATAAATGACTTTGGTCACAACCTATTTCTGTCATGATTAAATTTTTTATTTTATTTTTTTTATTGATTGCGGGATTAGTTATATTTTAAGTTTGTCACATACTCTTAATAATGCGCTTCAAATGTATTAAATCCTTAGTTTTTATTTTACGTGGAGCCTCTATTTATATTACGAGAGGTGTTAAGAAATTCTTTACAACTTACCTGAAGGTGTAAGCGGTGTGGCTCTAGGAGAGGGCAGCTGGGCATTGTGATTGTCATCTCTCGGGGGACTGGCGATTGCCCCATCGGAGTTGTTGTTGCTTGGGGGCCCCGGGCCTTCACCCCCACCGGCTTCTATCTGTAACTGTTACAAACACTTATCTCATAAACTACTCTTTTCTGTAGATCGCCCTAGCTTAGTGAATAGCGCTTACAATTATAATCTGCAGGTTTAAGAATTCGCAGCGGAACCTTATCCACTTTTCCTTTCAGAACATTTCTTATTTATAAATAATTGAAAAAAAGTAGACAGTACTGGTGAATCCCGAGCCGGGGGCTTCACTCGCTTTGTGTATGACGATCACAATACAGAAAGGAGTACTGCCAGCATTTAGGGAACTCTGGTGAAGGGACTAAATTTTAGGGGAATCAATGTTATCAAAACTACCGATGAAAAAATAAACACTTAGACTTGAATAAAATATTCGCTGCGCCCTTTCTTTTAAAAGTAATATTTTGGTACAATTATTTTAACCCGTAATAATATCAACTTCACTTTGAATCGTATCCTTTTTTCATTTGATTATTATCGATGTTCAAGCCGAACATTCAAAACCAAACATTTAAACGATAGCGTGCACGTCAATCGACTTAAAATTTTCTTTTACCTTTTAGGTACTTAGGTAATTCGATGCGCAATCATTATTGTAAGCTTCGAGCTCCATTGTAGCTTTTCAAACTTTGAAGTTATTAGAGTATTAAATCCCGTACGTACATAAATAGATAACAAGATATGTCTGTAAATCAGGTATTCATCCCACGCTTATATACTAATGTAGATGTATATTTTAGATGTATGCACTCATCAAGTCTCGTGTTATAAGGCTGTATTCAGTATTGAAATTATTCAATAAGGGCATTCTAACATTATATTTTTTATACCTTTATTCACGTTTTATCCTTTGTTTAATCATTCATTTGTATGTAGAAACTTATGAGAACAAATGCGTATTCAGTATATTTAATCATAGCTTTTGTGTTATATATATAAAAGTAATATAATTATTTATTAATTCTTATATATATAGAATATTAGAACCCGAAACAATACATATTTTGCAGTCAATCAAATCTACTCTCGATTGCACTTCTATTGATTATTCTTGTGTTTTCAATTTTACAGAAGCGGATTAAAATCTTAAACCCTACCTCACATCTCTAAAATCTTACTCCTTTGTTTACAACCTACGGCTACAAATCAGTGCAATGAACCTCTGAAAGTTAGCGGTTAGACTGGTCGAGGAACCCAGGATTACCCAGGTTTAGGTTGGAGGAACAAGAAGCGCCTTTTCTTTTCTATACTGCGACTTCTTATATCAAAATAATAAAGATGATATACTATATGATTATATCGGACAATGGCTAGTAGTTTCAACGCTTTTGGACTGATTTAACGCTGCTAATTTAGAAGTCCTGTGACATAACCTAACATATCAGGCTGTTAGCTGCTGCTTCGACATATATTTATTAAGAGAAAAAATTTCAAATAGTTTGTTTGCAATAAGGCCGGCCCTTTTCTTCATTATTATACATGTTTCGCGATAGTTTTGTATTATGCTACGAAGTTAACGAAACTACGAAACTATAATTATCGTCAAAACGACAAATAATCGCGCCCCTGTCGTAAATTCACTATTATTAGTTCTTTGTAAAGCCTCGAGAGATTTATTTTGAACATTAGTTTCCCTAAAAATAGATCAAATTGTCGTCTGTGTAAATATTTACCGACTTATATAGACTTTTTTGACATAGACATAAAGCAAAAATAGTAAAATGTTAACAGACCTGTGGTTTTAATAGTATTTCATTTCAATGTTAGGCTTTATAAACGATTTTTTTAATTTTATATTATGCTACGTAATTAACGAAACTTCGAAACTATAATTATGTTCAAAACGACAAATAATCGCGCCCATGTCATAAATTCACTATTATTAGTTCTTTGTAAAAATAGATCAAATTGTCGTCTGTGTCAAGCATTTATTTAGCAAAAATTGTAAAATGGTAACAGAATTGTGGTTTTGAATAGTATTTCATTTAAATTAATTAATTAATTTATAAAGCATTTTCTTAAATTTCATACAAAGACATTCACAACTGGGGGTTCAGTCAAGATGCCTTAACAGTATGTAGAAAGTCTGTACTGTACTGGGTCACAGACTTTTATGTAAGCCCGGCAAATTAGTTGGTTGATTAGTTTTTAAGTTTTTCCGACTATAAGTGATCCTCATCCTCATCAAGGTTCTAGATCTGGGCACCAGATTTGTGTATCTCTTTCGCCATTATTTGTTTTTTCTTAATATACAAGTAATAGTGCGAGCGAGTGTTGAATGTGACACAGACCGAAAGTCCATTGGTGTAAAGCCTGAGTTCGAACCTTGGACCCCAGGAATGAGACTCAAGTGTCTGCGATATAGTCATATAATCATGTTAAATACAAGCTCTTGAAGAATTGGGGTAAAATTTCAAATGTTATACATATACTGCTATTCATCTACAATTAATTAAATTTTTGTTTATTTAATGTAAACATGGTTTCTACTGATTTATTATGTTAATTTATTCAAGGCAATTTATAGATATATAAATAGGCAATAATAGATTGCTTTAATCCAAAGCTCCATTTAATAAAGACCCTTTGTCACTACTCCTCTCTTCGAAAACACTCTCCTTAAAGCCTCAGCCAGCATCGGGGTACTGGGCGTTGCCATATCGAATAAGGTTCAGTTTCGCGGTCATTTGGAAGGGAATGCTAAATTAGCCTCCAAGAAGCTTGGTGTGCTTAGCAAAGCGAGACGGTACTTCACTCCGGGCCATCGCTGCAACTGTATAAAGCGCAAATTGGGTCCCACGTGGAATACTGTTCTCACCTCTGGGTGGCTGGTTAAAAAGAGCGATTCGAGTCATCGACGACCAATTACTTCCCGAGTGACTTAATCCCTTGGCATTCCGTAGAGATGTGGGGTCTCCCTGCATCTTCTACCGCATTTACAAAGGAGAGTGTTCAAAGGAGTCGTCGGATTAATACGGATGAGTGTCATCATCGGACGTGGAGAATGGAGATACATTTTACAAGGAACGATCCACCAATTCAAACGATACCATCTGCCGTTTATTTATTATTACCAACTGAGCATTTTTAAGGCAGTTTTTTTCCACACACCATTTATATCAGGAACCAGTTACCGACCGAAGTATTGCTGAACCAATTCGACTTAGGGTCCTTCAAGAAAAGAGCGTACCAATTCTTAAAAGGCTGGCACGCTTAACATCAGATGAGCGTCTCATTGGCCCCGTTACATATAAAAAAACTGTTCTATTATTCATTATGTTTTTGGAAGGATGGTATAATAATATAATATAAAGGGAGGATCCTCAACCAGTCTAACCACTCACTGGCCAGCCCCAATGCCCTAAGAGCCTAATGACTAAGGTCGACAATCTGTATACATCCTTAGCGGCGGGATTAACTTAGTTAGCGTGTTTCAGGGTATAACGTTATTGCAGTGATTTTCTAGTTTTTTTTTGTTTTTAATTTTAATCAGTGTTGTAATTATAAATACTTATTTAGTTTTTGGTTATCTCCATTCATTATAAACTAAAGCTTAATTATATTATCATGAACGATTCTAATACGTATATGTCTATACATAATATTGGCTACAAAAAGGACCGCTTGCTTGAAGTCTCTCGTGTTTAACGCAATTAAACCAAACCACATAAAATAATCTCAAAAGTTATATATAATTGTATATACTTCGTCGTATAAGATGGATAACGTTCCATATGAAAATATTTTAATATTAGAAATCGTATTTGCATTTGAAACGAAAATTAAATCGCTCATCTCTTCAGATAATTGAATTTGATAATTTAAAATATAACATTTCATATAAACAATTAATTTAATTTCTTTTGACCTTTTCGATTGAATACCCTTTAAAGGGCAACCCCCGTCTCGTTCTCGTTTCAAATGTTAATACCTTCAATCATATTATTTCTTCGCTAACTGCTAGTTTATTTAAGCAAAAGAAAATATATTTGATTTGACTTCAAAGTGATGTTCTATAACCATATAAATTTAATCAGCTGGCCTCCAGGATCTCGGGTAAATGAACCCGTATCTTTGTGTTTTGTACCTACTTCCTTTTAACACCGAAACTTCTTTACAATAAAATAATTTTGAACCTATCTTAATGCTTAATACCTAGTTGCTTCACTGTTCCATTTTGGATATATGTTAAAAATATGCACATATAAAGTGGACCCTCTATAGACGATGTCCTGCATGATATTTAATAGCGATTGGATATTAAGCAAAGTATGGAAGTACCGACTCGTAGTGCCTTCTGTCGGGCCTATTTGTCTAATCTAAACGATTCCAGAACCCCTTTAACACACAAAAAATTTCATCAATATCTGTCCAGTCGTTTGAGACCAGTTCGTATCTTGCACTGTTCAAATATGATATGTGTTATAAATATAAATATATATAAATAAATTACATGGGTGGATCTGTGGGCCATAGCTGGGACCGTAGAAATATATATGTATAACACTTTTTACCTATACACGTATAAACATATAGGTACTTGAACGACAAGAGGTCCAAGGTCGGATCCCAGGTTTACGGTCTACGTACCCTGGCACGCATTTAACACTCGCTGTACGGTGATAGGATGAATCGTGAGGAAACCGGCACCCTTAAAGTCGACGGCGTGTGTCAGGCACAAGTGCATCACCACACATCATTAGAAAAAACAAATAATCACGAAACAGCTATATAGAAATCTGATATTTTTTTAACCTCAGAAGTAAAGGATGTAACCAATTCAGCTTCTTGCTATAAATATTACGATATTCATTTTAAAATCTGATAACATACTAATATAGCAATACAATTCTGAGATAGAGAACTTTTGGGTCTATGGCTTAGGACAGTTAATTTAGATTAAACCTACATTAATTAGAAAGATTCGATAACGAAACGATAATTAAATGATTTTTAAAATAAAGAAACTATAACAATACATTTTTGCACTCAAATGTAGAATGCTATCTTTAGTATTTACGAGTACTACAGTCGTCTAAACTTAAATTGGTCGGGCTACGGTTTCCCAAGAATAGCCGTAGAGGTGTAGCCAGTTAGTCGTAGATGGTTTGTAGCGCAGCTCTACGAAACATCATCACCCTTATGACATTTGAAATAAACATAGTTGTATGGTTCATATAAAATAGAAATAACTGTTCTGACGGTTTGTGAATGCACGGTCATGCTCTTTCAATTTAATTGTGACATAATCGTGTACAAAATGTAGGTATTTCGATTTAGAATTAAGCTTTCTATTAATTATCATATTGTAAAATTTTAAATATATAAATTATGATTAACTTAAATTGTCATTTCATTAAAAACAGTAATAATAGACTATAAAAGATATATTTATGGATACATGAAGCAATAAATTCTCTGTATCCCTTCAATTGTCCCTGGATATTGTATCAAGCTTCTTCCTGTATATAAAAAAGTCCAATGTCAAACACCAAGTAAGAAAGTATTAATTCACGCAATAAGCTAGTAGTCAAATGACATTTATTTAAAATTTCAAGCATATATATATATATATATATGCAAGAGATATTCATGAACACAATATACATATACGAGATACACTGTCAGAATAAATTAATGGAACTCTCCAAAAGGCTTTTTATAATTGCACTGCAATTTCAATTGTTCGATATTTAAAAATGTCTTTTTCACTTACTCGTTGTGGAGGCACGGTGTCCACGCCCATGATTGACACATACACAACACAATTATTTATTTTGTATCCATTTTAAAGGATTTTTTATGCTACGAGTCCGGTCTCGTCAAGCATTTGTAGGTTTACTGGGTGCTGACGACAAAATAGGGCTGTATTTTGGTATCGATAGGTTTTGGATGTCTTTCGACAAAGTAGCAAATATTTCCGTTATACACCAATATTGTTAAAAAAATATATTTACTGTCAAAATAATTTGTACCTACAATCAAATTTAAGGGATATTATTTAAAGCTTCCAGATCTAAATATCCTACAAAAATAGCTAAGTCTGCAGGCTTAGTAGGTCTTACGACATTGTAGTTTATTATAATGTGCAATTAACATTTGCATATAAGTTCTTGTTCTCTTCTACAATACAACAAAACCAACTAAACAATTGTTACTTGTTACGTTAATAAACACGTTTTCTTTTATAATGAGACTTTTTCATCGACACAGCCACATCCCTCGTACACCGAAGGCTGCGCGCGCCAACACCGCACCGCACAGCCTCCCTCGCACCTCATCTCGTAACTACTTTGCATTTCCGACTCTACCCCTCTAAAAATAGCGTCTAATTTTCCGTTATTACCCTCGTCCTTCAGGCCCTGTGTGGTCCAAGTAAATCTATTTTAGTTCTCTAATGAGTAATTAAGAAACATACCTAACATAAACTATCCCCATGCCCCATGAAACACAAATAGAAAGCATTTGTATATCAATTATTTATTTATTAAGTATTAGTAAGAATAATCTGATAAATTTCAGACTATCAATTCTTTACTTTATACATTATGGTATACTCGTAAAGTGTTTGTCGTTGCACTTGGAGTAATTTTCATTCTACTCTGCCTTGCGATTCTGTAACTCATTTTTCGAACTCTCACGGCGGCGGCGCTGTGAGAGTTCGAAAAGAGAGTTACAGAATCGCAAGGCTGATCAGGGTGTCTCTATAATAATTTGTATCATATATCAAAGCTATACGATCACGCCCAATAACGCTGGTGAAACCGCGGAGCACTGCTAGTACTAAAATAATGCGATTATACGTAAAAAAATGCTGCATGCTACCTTATTAATGTTCATACTTCCCTTAATTTTCTTTTAAACAAGTAATACCTAATCAAAATAATGCAATTCATGAATGAATGTTTTGCTGTATGGTAGGTACTATGTATTAGGCTGTCAAAAACTTAGTGTGAAATATATTTTCAATATCCTTTAATATTACAATCCGTAAATTGGCGTTTACTAAAGGCATATTTTTGGTATGTTATCAATTAGGCTATCTAATATCTTGATGAGAAATGTATTTACAATAATTTAATAATCCAGAAATATTCCGCAACAATACGCAAAATGGCGTCAACGTTTCACGGAAGTTTACACGTGCAAATATTTACACGTGTAAATTTTAATACCTGCGATGTATGTGTTACATATAAATAATAACATATATAATAGAAATATAAATAATAACTTTAATAATAGAATATAAATAATAATAGAAATATAAATAATAACTTTATTTCTCCATTAGGATAATTGATATTTAATTCGATTTGACAGGCGTCAATTGCAATATCTTAATTATATTTGGTTTAATTCGAATGATAAGTCAAAATATCATTTATACATGCAGCTTATTCTACATATGAACGTCAATGTCGTTTGACTTACACCAAAGAAATAACAGTGCATATAGTGGCTAGTCAACTGACGTCACAAATCGGCTTTAACTTACATCAGTTAATAAAGGTTAAGGTACTTAACATTGCATTATTATATTGATTTATCGACAAAGCGTAGAAGAAGTATCTATGTTATATCATTTACAATGAAGTAGCATTATATAAAACAATTAATGAATTCTTTTAATGTGATGAATCATCAGAATGGCAGAGTTTAGGAATAATCATAGCTCAGCAAACGTATCCTTTTCGTAGCGATGTTGCAAACAAGATAAAAAACTATGCAGATAGTTTGACAATAGTTTCACGCCGCGAATTTACTCTATATTGAGGGTAGTTAAAAGATAGGGACGGAGAGTGATTGCTGTGTAGGGTTATAAATTGTTTCTTTGTGAAATAATATAACATTTTGTAATTTTCGAATTTTAAATGTTTGTTTTAGAAACGCACTCAAATAAGGCGCACTATATATAACTTGTAGAAAAACAACACATTTATTTGGCGAAATCTACCAATTAAATTTGGTAGGATACTAAAAACATCCCCATGGCGCCCACCTTTATTTATATATTTTTATATATTTATTTAAGTTTATGTTAAGATCGAGTTTAGTTTTATTGTACACAAATAACTACATTCGCGTTAGTTCGCGTACTTCGCGTTAGTTATACCGGGACAAGGAAGCTAGAAAACAAAATACGCTAATTATACCACCCCATCATTAACTGTTTTATTTGTATAGTGTAGCAAAAACCGTATATGGCCCTTGCCCTTAAAATATCTATATAGTGCTATAGCGGTACGATTCAGAGTTTGCTTAGTTTGCCTGTATGACAAAATCCAAAACATTTTTGATATAAGAGAGTCACTTAGCACTAGGCCCCGATTCCAAGTTCCATATTCGTATCTCAAGTCACAACCTCGTCTTGAGCGCTGTCAAATATGTAAAACTTCATACAGACAAAATTGTTGGACAGCCCTTGAAATGAGATTTAAGTTTCACGTTCCATTAGGGCCTTAAATCTCAAGGATTAGGGCGAATAGTTTCGTCGCCAAACTAAAATACCAGCCAGCATGTTATTGTAATAATAATACTTAAAACTTGAACTAGACCCGATAAAAAGTGAAACCAATCGTTACCTATAAATAACTTACGTAATTTAATATTATGTTCAGTGAATCGATTCAGTTACAGTTTGGGAAAAATATATTATCTTTTTGAGGGCCTGTGATTTTTGCTAACATAAAAAAAACCAGTGGCGCTAAAACCATTTAGGTCTGAGCCTCAGATTTGCGTTTCTGTTACGTAATCAATAGTTTAGTAGGTGTTCAGCCTTCGAAGCCCGACAAACGCCGTCCACTTTTTCAAGGTCTAAGACATTCCAGTTTTCGTGATTTTTTCCTTCACGATAAGAGCAAGTGTTAAATGCCCAATTATACAGAAAGGCCTTTGGTGCACAACCGGAGATCGAACTAATCAATTCGAGTCAAACAAATGAAAAATATTTACATTAATATGCCACGTCGAGTTCTGTTTGCCCATGAAATTATTATACATAGAAGTAATGAAATTAAAATTTTAATATTATGAACATTGCATACAAAATGAGTTGTTGTGTTTTTATAACAGCAAAGTGCCATTTCTACAGCGCCTGAGTGTGCCTTCTTCACAACTACACAGCTCAAACGGGTCATTGCCCTGTAATAATTAGCTTGTTTTAGAATTCTAGGCTTCCCTTTAATCCCCCTTATCAAAGACCTGTGCGTATTAATTTGTTTATGTACTGAACATACATTTTTTGGTACTAATATTTTTTTTTTAATTGTAGGAAATAATTTTAAATCGTTGAAATTTCAAGTATGTTCATGATGAGCCTAGCTTTTTTTGACAACACACAGGAACCTCTGCAACCTCTACGATAACAAATATATAACGAACTAAAACGGTAATTACTTATGTTAAGTAGCACAATAAACATAACGAAATAAAACTTAACGAAGACTTAATTTCAGGTTCTTGTTCTTTACATTTCATTTTATTCTAATACACCAAATATGTTATATTGCGCCAAAAAATGCATTTTAACTTTATTTCAGCGCAGTAGATACGTAGATAAAAAAATACTCACATCATATAATATCATGTCAAGAGCCTGTGTTGACACTTGTTAACTCCTTCCAATGTTACTGAAGTGGAGATGAAAAACTAAGATCAAAAACAAGACACTGGCGATTTTAATAAAAGTCTAAAAGTGACCTTAATAAATATATGACACTCTAGATTAAAAAAAAAAAGTAAATAAAAATGATTACGAAAATGAAATGTTGAAAGCGTGTGTTCTCCACCAGCACGTAAATAAAACTGGGGGTAGCAGTAAACTAACTCAGGGTGGGCGGGTCGAATTCCTAACTTAGCACTGCAGATTCATACATTAGAATTCCGCATATTCAAGATTCGTTCATCCTTTACAATTCAATTCAATCTTGTAGCAAAAATCTGGACGTCGCTGGATATACAAGTTTATGAATAGAAGCAGAAAAATTAAGAACAACTTCATAAAACATTGTTATGACTTTCTACAATCCCCGTGAAATACTAATTGAAATATGCAAAGGATAAGTCCGTATAATTGTTGTAATAACGGTACCACTCTTTCATTAAATTTACCAGCCGGCAACACTCTGGGATTGAGAGTTTCCGTGACGGCGTTATAACGTCAGGTGAGCCTACCGCCCGTTTAGACCCTGTACTATAAAAAAAACCCTCGACATTATAACGTAGTTCGTATAATATTCTATATTCTAGGAAAATGGAATTGCAAGTCGCATGTATTCATAAAGAGACATACGCAACCTTTTGCACATTCAGCGAATTCTCTTTATATAATTGCATTGCATGTGTTTGTGAAGGATTAAATATCGTATGGTAAGCAGTATGACTTAATACGCACCGATAGCGAAAACATCGATTAAGCTATTAAGGTATCGAATACAGCTTACAAATAATCAGTAGATACTATAATATATTGAAACAAAGTGATCAATTTAGATAAAAGAATATTTTGTGGTTTCGCTATTTTATATAAAACTAGCGAACCCGACAAACGTTGTCCTGTACACACGTCTTAAATACAAAACTCCTAACGGTAAGTCTAAACCATTCTCTAATCCACTTAATCGGACCGACCGTTTAGAAGTTAACAAATACACGCACAAACGATTTATAAATTGACGACTCATTGTTGTTGCACCCTGCTGCGAACCAGGGTCCGGGTTCGTCCCGGCTGAGACGAACTCGATGTGATGAGCATTTGATGTTGTGCTTAGGTTTGGGTGTAAATATGTATTTATATGTCTATCTATGTATAATATGTGTATTCCGTTGCCAAGTAGGTACCCATAACACAAGCTTCACCAGCTTAGCATGGGACTAGGTCAATTGGTGTGAATTGTCTTTTATAAAAAAAAAAAAAAATAAATAAATATCAATAAGCATTGGTATATGTAATAAGGCAGTAGGTTTATGACAGTTTGAATTTCTTAAAGAATAGCTTAATTGCGCTTAATTGCTAAAGTAACATTTAATAGATTAGATATTTGTTTAAGGCAAACTTATTTTTTTTAATTTTACAAAACCCACATTATACCTATTATGGAATATATACACAGATTAATAAAAAAACTACTTAAAAGAATTTGTACTGTTTGGCTATACTATATTATAACATTTATTTTATTAATTAAAAGCCTAAAAAACATCGAGAATTTCCTTTTAAATTATATCTCCACATGATCGCAAACTTACTATTACTACACTGCAATAATTAATTTACATCATGTACATAAAATAAATTAAGCAAATTGTACACTTTAGAAAATCTTGGTATCCATTAAAAATAAACTTGTAGGAAAAAGGACGGGTACTGATTTTGGATTTTACTCCTATTAACTGTTTCTATCTATATGTAAAACCACACCGAATCTCTTGCCTGTTTTAATATGAAATAGTGTGCTTTGGCACAATATCATTAGCCAATATTTGTACTCACCTTGTTGTTTTGTTAATGATTGTTTAATAATAACATGCGAATAGGAGGATCATGAAATAAAAAATATGATTTTATATAAAAGTTATATAAAACTTTGCGTCGCGAAAATATGGTAAAACTTCATAAAAATGTCACTCCCAACTCGATTAAAGCAGATGGAAAGCCTTGGTAAGACCCCTTTTTATTTAACTTTGTGGACAATGAACGTTCACTTAGTCCTGTCCTCATTTAGAAGGATTATCATGTTAGCGATCGCATTTTATGTTAGGAATTTATGGTAATATTTTATTAGAAAACTTTTATATAAGACGCGGCATTTTGAGTTAATTCTTACCTACTGCAAGTAAAAAAAGAGAATACTTAACTCATTTAATTAGATTTCTACATGTAAAGTTAGTTCGTAGTTAGCACTTAAACTATGGCCTCCACCACGAAAAAAAATGATGGGGTTTATACTCCAATGCTTACTATTTTCCAAGTAAAACCTTACCAACCTAAGTAAAACGCCTGTATTCATCCTAATTTTAGTATAGAGTTTATTATGAAATTATACAAAAAAATTGTATTGTCCTGCTTTAATAATTAGGCGCTTATGTAATTCGTTAAAAACATTTTCTAAATTTGTTACATTATAGCCCTTCGGCTCTAGAAGAAACATTTGCAGTATAACGCACGATTCTTTTTAACTTTCATTGTGCAAAATTAACGTAACTGTACAAAGATAACGAAATTGTACAAAAAAAGGTTTTATACCTTGTTATTTTCACAACTAGCCCAATTGTTATTTTCACAAAGTTTCAAACGTGGCTGGTCTCGTGTCGATGAAGCCGCGTTATCCAATTATAGCTACGGATTAACATTGCCCTTTCGTCGATTTCAAAAATGTATAAAAAGATCACGTGGTATACGCACGTGTTGTGAAATGCTTTGCCGAATGTATTTGTGGAATTCTAATGAACACAAATTACACGAAGCTTAAAACTGTACCATTAAGCATTAATTGTTTTCTCAATATTTTCCGTAGAGATTAAATTTAAGGTGAGCATAATATAGTAAATAAATTTTCTTATAATGCCACTAATATATATGTTTAAATGTAGACTATACATTGGTTGTTTAGAGCAGTGTTGGCCTAGTGGCTTCAGCGTGCGACTCTAAGACCTACGCATTCCCGAAACACTGTGACGTTTTGTGATTTGGCTTTGTTACATGGACCGCTTGGAAATATCAATATCGAAAGTGACATGATGGAGAGAGAGAGTTATATCTTCAATAGAAAACATTGAAAGGGTAGGAACTGCAGCCGATATGAATCCACGAATGCCTAAAGTGTTGTATATGTTCGGAACTAATAAAACCAAAATCCTTCCATCCTGTACGGTGAGAATGAATTCAAAAGAAGGAACCGTATTTTGAAACACACGGTATTAAATGTGATCCTGACGCTGATCATTACAAACTTGCAACCTTATAACAACAGAGGATCGCCAAACCTACCGCAATTGCAAATACTTATTGCATTAAGGCATAAAAATGCAACTGGATGTTTTCAGGTAATATTGTGTTCATAAATATGTATGGTTTTTCAATTTGATATATTATACCTCTTCTCAAATGATTTTAAATAGTACATATGTTGAAGACTTTTGTCTTCTGACTTTCAAACATAACATATATGAGTAGTTTGGTATCAAATTTGGTCAAATCCATTTTAGGCTATTTTCTACAATAGTAACATTTCCATATTTTCATATGGCCACCTCCAACCAAACAAAGATGAGGCGGGTAAGTCAAACGCGATATCAATATAAAGTGGAGAGAAAATAAAAACCTTATCCCCATATAAATAAGAACCTAAATTTATTTTTGAAATTTGGATTTGTCTGCTTTTGATTCTCAAGTCATTATTTGACCAGATTTGAAAGTTCACGTTTTGGATATGCCTGAATTTGAATGTTAATAAAAGGATTTGACTAATTTTGAACTTTAAGAGAGTGTCAGCAAGGGGTTGTCAAATTTGGTCAACAATGTTAGTTACATGGGAGGAAAAATATTATAATAAAGAAAATGTAAAATCTAGATTTATTTATTTCCATTCCAATCATATTTCAAATGACACTTATTGATAACATTAATTACAACAATGTTACTTATACTTAAACTATTAGATGTGGAATTTCTTGCATTGGTTCGCAATTTTCATGTTCGTATTCATGCTGTAATGAATCTGGTCGGCTTAGAACTTCTTTGAAGTAATTTAAATCTGATAGTTCTTCCCAATTTTCGCCATAATGCGTGGTGAGTAAAGTTTTTACATCACTTAGTTTTTTATCTTTCACTTTTATGAAAAGAGGTGCTGGGTCCGGGTTGATTTGACTCACCGATTTTCCTTTTTTGCAAATAAGTTTGAAATCTGATTGCTGATTACGGTAACTAACTTCACCCCTTACTAATACATTTGTTTTCGTCTTATTTCGTTTCAGAATAAATCTTTTACATTCCTTTATAGAAAAGTGCATTGCACTGGTTGGCTTTAAAACTTTCGCACATTCCTCCTTCCACTGATAGGCTTCTACTTCAGTTCCTAAATGTAGAACAGTCGCATGCTCTGTAAAAATTCGTTCATAAGCTTCTGGGTTATTGATCTCTTCTTTTTTTTTTCTTTTTTTTTCTATTTGCGCAAACACTCGGTCCGGTGGAAGGAAAGAGTGCCCCACAACTGGGAACACGATCTCAATGGACTTGATTCGTGCAGGTGCGTAGTCCAATAAATATTTGGAGGCCATCCCTAAAACAATACTATTTTTATTCTGACCACTGCACCCATCACATACGAGCCGAATTTTGGTAGCTTGTTCATATTTTTCAACTAATTGACACAAGCAGTGGAAGACAGCGCTTGCAATTTCGTTGGAGGCTTTTGGTAAAATATCTTCCGTCCACGTATAAGAATAGACATTTTCTTTCTTAAGCTCCATTTTAGAGTGTCCTACAACAACAGTAAAGTTGTAAATATACAGTTGCCGGGAATAATATGTTATTTGATCCGGTATTTTGGGCATCGGTTGATTCTTTTGGCAATCAAAGCTCAAAATTAACAAATTTTCATTATTTTCTTTGAGTAAGTCATAGAAAGCCCTTGCCCTGAGTTTATGAACCCTTTTATTGATCATCAATTCATTTTTTTTGTTTTCGTTCTTTTCGTGTTTCATTTGCTCTTGTAACTGAAGGCATGTTGAGCATACGTCAGTACGTGGACTTCCGAAACCAATATTGAAACATGTATTAAAGATCCTTCTAAAATATGAAGCTTTAACATTCATAGATTCCGGTGCAGCTTGATCTTTGTACAATCTATACATTTTTGCAATGGATAGGTTCGACGATAAGTATTGTCTGCATTTTATGCTCCCTCGGCAATAATGTATCTCAAGAGGTTTGAATTTTTTTATAAAATCTTTTACAGATCTGCGTTGTGCTGAAAATTTGACTTTTTTCCGATCTCCCCCTCTATTTTCTTGTGCTGAAGCCCCCATACTCATAAAATTACGGCTTATGACGCCATTTACGCGCCCTTTTTTTAGGCCTAAAATCTGCAGAAATGTCTTCCTACAAATCGGTACAATATTATTCCTTCTGCGTGCATAATACACAACATTAAATCCTTTTCCAGATCTAGCACCAGTTTTAGGGCGACGACGGCTGACTGGCGACACTTTTGTATGTTTTAGGATGAAGTTATCCTGATCCATTTCTGACTTTGTCCGATAAAACGCAGAATGAAATGCAATAATTTTTTCTGAGCGATGTGCATCTGTATGCCTTGGAATAATGTTCACAAGGTACTTTTGTATATGGTGGACGTTTTGGAGAGTATCTGAAAAAAAATGATTAGTTTAATAAGCAAAGAAGTGCCTTGTTAATAAGCGAAATCACACCAATGCTGCAATACCGATGAATTTTTGATCATTATCATACACAACGTTAAATATACAGGAAAATAAAAAAAACATAGTTGAACGATCATTTAGACTCCAAAACAACATGCACCATGTGCACGCTATTGTTCTAAATAACTTGTGTTTTTTTCCAAGTTAGTACATCCACCATTTAAAGTCAAAGAAGCCTTCACCCGTTTTAGTGATCAATTTTCGACTACGAGAAATAAAATAACAAAATAGGTACATAGAGTTTCTACTCTATGTACACTTCTGTGTAGAGCACATAAAATAAGGAAATGAGTTTAGAATGTTGTTCTACTTCTTTCAGATATTCACACAAAAAGTATACCAAAACCAAAATGTTTAATACCCCTGCTGACAAACACTTGGCGAGGTGAAGCACAAAGGATTACTTACCGAGAAACTTTTTTCTCATTGCGCTTCCACTTTTTTGTTTGAGGAATCCTTTTTCTCGAAAAATTTGCTTCAGTTTCTTGTATGTTTTCTTGCGATTCTTCCATTTTTACTACATTTATTTAATAAAAAACGCGGAGAAACACTCGTCGTGGCAAACTATGCAACTGACAGTAATTCAAAATGGCCGCTGGCCCCATACTAAGAACTCATCCCTGATTGGTTGAAGTGGATTTGTCCAATTTTGATTATTAACTGTCAAGGATTTGACCGTTATTGATACCAATATCACTTTTTGAAGTCGATTTTAAAAGGTAAACGCGAGGATTTGGCCGGTTTTGATATTAAAAGAAGGTATATTTTTACAAAGTGAATGTAGCTGCATTGTCAGTTTAAAAAGTGTTATTTTGGGATTTGACCAATTATGAAACCAAACTACTCATATATGACTAATAATACTTTATTGACATTACAGATGGTGTGTGGTGATCTGAACAGCATAAGCCAATCTACAGTCTGTTTAATTATAAAAAAAGTCTCTGCAGAGTTGAGTAAATTACTTCCTAGATTTGTAAATTTTCCAAGAAATATGAACACAGCCAAAACGAAGTTTGAAGAATTAGGAAGATCTAATACTCCCCATGGCCTAAACAGTATAATCGGAGCTATTGACTGCACCCATATAAAAATTAATAGACCCAAAGGTATCGCTCACTCTGAAGCATTCAGAAATAAAAAAGGGTATTTTTCTGTAAATGTGCAAGCAATAATAGGGCCTGATATGGAAATATTTGCTATAGTGACTAGGTGGCCTGGCAGTTCACACGACAGCAGGATATTTAGAAAATGTCTGTTTTAGTAGGTGACAGCGGTTATCCAGCACTTAACTTCATGTTAACAACACTTTTAAATCCAATGACAAGAGCTGACAATATTTATAATTATTCTCAAATAAGAACTAGGCATATTTTTTAAAGGTTTTTCGGAGTGTGAAAAAGGAAATTTCCATGTTTACAGCTAGGACTACAGTCTAAATTGACAAATACTAGTTATATATAATTATAGCTTGTGCTGTATTGCATAATATAGGTATACAGAGAGGCGATGCTTATGATGATGGTGATCTTGCTGACAGCAGAAGTTGAGTAACACAGAAACAATGAAAGATCTCCTACAGGTCTAGCATTCCGGCAATCTGTGATTGCACAATTTAACTAGGTAATTTGTTTGGTAATAAAGAATATCAAAACAAAACTTGTTTCATTTTAATCATTTATTTTCTGATTCTTTTTTTAAGTGTAATACATATTTCTAATACTAATTTATATTTTTGTTGAAGAAATTCTATTTCTAACAGATTTTTTAATTTCATATGTTCCACTCCTATCTCAAATTTTTTAGGGTAGTCAGGTAATAAATGGTAGAAGATTCAGGGAAACGAAAATAACAGATGTGAAGCGAGAGACATCGGTTAGGTTATGGTTTGAATTTCGTTGTCACTATAATATGCCAGGGCTGCCAGGTGACATACAAAATCACACCAGTTATTTTTAAGATTTCTCAAAAATGGGGTTTGAACAATTACATAAATAATATAAATAAACAACAATAAATACCATAATAATGTGTAATTATTTTATTTCATGCATTTCATAGGTATTTATCAAGATCATTTATAATTTCTTTGAATTCAAATTCTATTTTTCCCAAAGTCTATGGAACTCCGATACAAAATGGCAACACCGTTCATTAAAAACCGACAAAAATAAAAAGTCCAGTAAAAGATATGATGGTAAAAGCAAATTTTGGGCCATTATTTTTGTTAGGCTTATAGTCAAAGTTTTTGGTAAGTCGTCGATTTCGTGGACTTGAGATTAAGCTAAGCCAACACTAGGGAGAGATTCGCAGTTTGCTCTATAAATACCGACTGTGTCTTAGCTCGATAGTTAAGTCAGAGCAAAGTCTAAGTGCGCACTATAGATCTCACCCTTAGACCCAAAAAAAAGTCGACGGCGTGAAACAGATTCAGAAATCTAAGGCCCAGATCTTAAGATTGTTGTAGCGCCACTGATTTATATTTTTATACATTGGTTTTGAGTTATGTAGCGACATACCAACCGCCAGTAGCCATTACACCCAAAACGCATAAAATTTCCACTAGTTATTGGTATATAATTTATTTTATTTAACACACACATAGACTACAATATTCGTAACCTATATAGTAATAATAACAAATAACAACTGATAAATAGAAATCTAAAATAAATTTAAAAAGCTTGTGGTAGTGGCTTTGATGCTGGCATTGTTTCTTCGCTGTATTGCGATAGGTACTTATTCGTTGAGCGAGAAAATCACAAGTTCTTGGGTCACCAGTAGCACCCACTAGGAACCAACTTAAATATTTCATAAGCACTTGAATTATTGCACTTGCACTTAATACTACTTAATTTCAACTTCAATATAGTATTTTAAAATATATATTCGCTACAATCATCTCAGTAAAATAAAATATAAATAGTCTCAATTAATTAAATAAAACTACTTTAAATGATATAAACGTTGATGTATTAGATTATTTAGTAACTCGTTTTGCTTTAAAACTGATAATAAAATCAACATTATGAGTTAAGTAAATAGCAATTCAATCCCAATAAGGCTTCTGGCTCAGACGGTACACCTAATGAAACTCTTAAAGCAGTTATCTACTGCTTCCGTTCCGCCCGTTCGTCCTACCTATCCTGATCAATAATTTTCTTAAAGCAGAAGCCATTCCAGCTCAATGTACTCACTCTGACATATTCCTTATCAGCAAATAAGTTGACAACATAGGCAATTATCGAACAATATTCTAATAAGACGATAGGAAACAAAATCTTTATGAAAATCATCCTGTAGAGCAGTATGTCTTCCGAAAGGACTATTCAGTATTTGACCACATTCACACATTGAGAAAAGTGTTAAATAAGTCATAGGAACTTGCCATATTACATATTATATGGATTTCAGCAAAGCTTTTGGTTCATATTAAAATTTGGGACCCTCTGATCGAACAAGGAATCTAGAATCGGACAAAACCAAGTTAATGACAAACGGTTCTAAGGATTATGTATTTTATACATATTTAAAATGATTTAATCGGATATATAGAAGAGTACCTGTACCTAGGTTAAATAATTTCACCAACAAACAACATAGGTAAAGAGATTTCAAGAAGAATATGTAATGGGTCAAAATGTCATTGGGCTGCACGAGTGGTAGCCATGAGCCGTCCAGACTCTCGATTTATTTAATATGCTTGCTACATCTACGACAATATGGATGTGATTGGATTGACTGCGTTAGCTACTTTATGTGCCAATATTATAATGCCTTGCGTTTTTATCACAAATATAAATAAAAAATATAATATCATGCAGGTATAAACATAATTTAATTTAAGCTTTTCTTTATTAGGTATCCTCTAAATGTCGACATTAATGATGTTTCTCTTATCTTAAAGAACCCAAAGTCAAATTGGTTCGGAAATATGGGCAGCTGGTTCCACATTGTGGTGGTGCGCGCTAAAAAAGTGCCTTAAAAAGCGGTCATTCGTGGAACGACGGACGTCAAAATGATAAGGGTGGAATTTCAGATTCTGCCTCGGCCCTCGAGGAATGATGATGAAACTCACTTGCAAGGACCTATTAATAATTACAATTATTAATATGGTGTCTGTGCTCTGAATGTCATAAGTCATTCTTGACGTATAATTAAGTTAAAATTTTAAACATCAAAAAATTGTTGTTTGTATTTTTGTAACAGTGAGTGTTATTGCATTTAATAAATACATATTTTGAGTGAAGATAAACCTTTAGCAACATCGGCACCCTCGTCCTCCCGTTTTAGATGACTCTAGGACGTAAATATCAGAATTCTTCCGGGTAAATGGCTTTATAATCCTTGTATGGGTGTAACAGTTTATTGATGCATGAACTTGGCTTATTAATAAATGGAGGATTGATTTTTCCCTATTTATAGGAATGCTGGGGAGGCTCGAAAGGTCTATGCTAGTCAGTCGAAGGTTGGGACGCTCTCTGGGTGCTCATCTTCTGTAAGTTATACTAAAAACATAACATTAATTTCTATTTTTCACACGGACACAGGAAATACTGTAATCCCATAATTGTATATTGTTCTTAGTCATCTATTATATCCCTAATTGGTATAAGCACTTATATATTATCTTTTATCAATACAACATGGTCTATAATGAGATTTAACCTGTATTAAGTCCTTTATATTAACAATGAGACCACTTAATTTATTTCTTTTGCTTTATCCAGTTCTCTTATATGTAACAAACATAAGAAAACTAGGAAGGCTTTAACTTAATACTAAAATATTACTAACTATATTTATTGGTGCTTTGAAACTTACTTAATTATATAACTTTAGTTAATAAATTAGGTATATTATTGGTTTTTACACTCACTGTTTTAATTTTAACTTACAGATTTCACTATCTGACATGATTGAACCACCGGACTATGAAGATGTGTGTGACAGGATGATGGGTGAGGGTGATCCTCTTGCCTATCCAACAAATGACATTGAGCTTGTGACAATACCACGGAAGATTAGAACTCTGACACATGTGCTACCTGATGAAGATTAGTATGTTTTTTTTTAATTTAACTTCTAAATAAAGTTAATTGATAAAGATTATTATATTAGCATCAAATTTAAACGAATGCTTTTCTAGTTCAAAAGCTCCTATGTTTGTCCGGGACTGCATAAGCTGCTACACTTCAGACTACACAGTTGCAGAATACAAGTATCGTAACTACTCAGGGTCAGCCTATGGTAGAGAACGACTTGCAGAAAGGCTTGATAGACTTCTATTAGCTCCACCACAAAACTATGAAGTTGACGCTGAGCATTCAACCTCTATGGAAGAACTGGCATCACAACAGGTAAAATTAAATATCCATCAATTAAGTGACTTCAAAAAAACATCATATAAGTTTGTTACTATATATATATATTGGAGAAGTTTTACTTAATTTAAAAATTTGCAGGTTGCAGGTATTAGATGTGTTAAATTAGTTTCTGACTATACAATATA